TCTCTCTTTGAAAGTCTCAGTAACTGGCTATTGCTAGTTAAAAAGTTTTCACATAAAAATTTTAAAACCAGATTTCTTTGTTTTAATTTTCTTTTAAATGTCCATTTTTATGCCCTGCGATGGACTGGCGACCTGTCCAGGGTGTCCCCTGCCTTCGCCCTAAGTCGGCTGAGATAGACTCCAGCCCCCCCGCGACCCTAATGAGGATAAAGCGGTGTATAGAAAATGGATGGATGGATGGATGTCCATTTTTATGTGGTTTAGAAAAACTGGTATTGACCTTCTCATCTAACTTCTAAATGTTGAACTCTTCCGTTAAGTTTCTTGCTCAAGAACACTGGTAGTAGATTGCAAAAAGGCTTTATTCGTCTGTATTTTCCAACTAACTGGTCAAAGAATTGATGCAAACTCTACAGTCATGGGCGTCTGTCCTGCCGCTGCTCATCATTCTCCTCGCTCAGTATTCACAGCACTGGAGCAGAGATAAGAACTGGCTTGGAAATATCTTGTCAGATGGCAGTGTGATGGAAATAGCAAAGAAATTAAGGCCTAAACTACAACAGATGGAATCATTTGTGTAAGCTGGTGCTATATTTCTATTTTGACCAAGTGACACCAAAGATAGAATCAGAATCAAATTTTCTCACGTTGCACTCTCTCCAGAGACTGCTTCAAATATGCTGTGTACACAGCAGCCCTGAGCCATTTGTTTGACAATTTTACTGTAACAGAAGAAATACAAACAATCAATCTTCACACAGTGTGATCATCTTCTTGCACTGATAGAAATCCAACTCTGGCAGACTGGAATTGGTTGATGGGATTTTCCAGCAAATATATGGCAATCAGCATCCATTCTCTGTCCGAGGCTGCTACTGTGTCCCTAAAACATTTGAAAAAACCCTCTAAAATGGAAAATGTCATGCCTTTATGGGGGAATTATTTTAAAATAAAGGCATTAAACAAAAGGCAAAATTCACAACAGTCACTCAAATAACTAGAAACCGAAAAAAAGTAATAATAGATCAAATATGGCTAAATTGCAATTTAGTGAAATAAGACATTGTTTTTAAATTGTGGTTGAAAAGAATAATTTAAAAAATAGGGAAAAAAAACAAAACAAAAAACTGTCCTGGGCAAATTAGAGCACTTTGCTGATGAGCAGCATATATATATATATATATATATATATATATATATATATGTTGAACCACAATTCAAAAGCAATATCATGATTTTCAGTAATTTTTGATTAATTACTACTTTTGTCAATTTCAACTTATTTCAACAGTAACAGTAACTTCTGTAATGGGAGGGTATGAATAAATATGAGGACAACTATATATGTATATATATATCAGCCATTTCAGTAATGATAATTCTAATCTAATTAGGCTAATTCTTAACATAGTTGAAACTTAAGCACTATGATGCTGTGAAGGTGTGATGATATTTTACAACTTGGGAGTTGCTGGATGTTTGGTCCTGTCCATGTTTATGTATTCCGACTTTATTTGCTCATATTCAATTTGTTTCATATATTCCAACAATGCCAATGTCTCTAAACTTTTTATATTCTCTCCTGCTTGTTTATTAGCCAGAAGTTCCGTCAGAATATGTGAAAGATTCCACAGTGCAGTACAACACCACCACTGTCCTCCTAAATGCTACATATCATTGACTTATTATCCCTATGAATACACTGTTAACACATTTTGAACATTATAGTCATCACTAAAGCACTGAGGCAGAGCACTTGTACTGGATGGTATCAGATTGTACAGATGTGCCTAATAACGTGACCACTGAGTGTATTTTCAAATGCAAAACAACTTTTTTTTTTTGATTCTCTACAAGGAGGGGCTGATTGGTCTGATTATTTATGCTCAGGGTGACCTGTGCTAATTATGGGAATGAAATTAACAGCAAGGGGTCAGACGTTAAATGTAGATGTCAAATTGCCTTTCACAGACAGGTTGCTGGTGTTTAAGTGCTTGAGCTATCTGCAGGCAATAATTGCCACAGCTGCTTTTTATGGCTGCCACTGAGTGTAATTTCAAAAGAGATTGGTGTTCATCCAGATGCAGTTTTAACTTGCATATGACAGGTTTATAAAATGTATAAATTATGCAAAATAATTACACAAATGTATCCTTACAGATTCTCTTTCTCATTTTTTTTTTTCAAATCTCAGCAACAAGTGAATCTCAGAAAACTTGATATGCTTCAGTTGTCATTGATCCAGTGTTTTGATAAATAATAAACGAATGATCTCTCCTGAGATAGAGGTTGTAGTTTAAAGACAGATATTGCTGTTAATGTCTTGTCATGGCTCTGCACACATCAATTCATTTATTTTAAAGAAATAATGTAAATCTTGTACGAGGTCTTGACAAACTACCTTGGATTAAATGGATATATAGCCTGAAGGAGGAAAGTGCTTTAATTTTCTCCTCCAACTCAATCAATAAGTCATTAAAGGTTTACAACGAGTCACTTTTACTACAGACTCTGTACTATTGCATTGATTCTTGAAGAGGCACTCTGGCAGTCTAGTTTTGCATCCGATAAAAGACACAAAGACGGGTCTAAATCAGCTCCACAGAGACTGAGATGTTCTAGTTTTATTAAATTATTTCTAACTTAGACCCTAATATGGGTCAAATTCCATAAATCCTTGCTTCTGAATTTTTAATAATACAACCTAAATAATCTGTCATTAGACATCAGTGCCCAGTAAAAATCTGACAGACACCTCAGTCAAAGTGATTGTGAGATATTGAAACAGTATCTGAAATCCACCCCTCCTACACCTTTCAACCTTTATTTAAACTCAGAAATACGTTGCAGCAAAGGCCTCATTTACAACATCATTGATGTGTCTGGCAACAGGCCATTTGTTACTTTCTGAAACCAACAATACAGCAACCGCACCCACACAGGCAGTGATGTGCAGAGTTACGAAAGGACACAGGATTTGAATTCATATGCTGGCCTGTCATTTGTCTCACAAAGCTCCTCATGGGAAAACAAAATACACCTGTTGTCATACAACAGGACTCTCCTGTGCCTTTTAAATTTTTTAAATTGAAGTCCATCACATCTTCTAGCTATCATTGCTAGACAGCAGTTCAGTTGCTGCATCACTACAACACTGGTTATTTGAAGCCAATTTGTTTGGAAGAAATGCCTGAGATATTCAGGCTTTGGAAACCTTGTGTTCTCCAACAGGGATGAGGTCTAGACTCCAAATGTCACTGAAAGTGTAAGTGATCTTGTGCTTTGTGCGTAAGTGCTTTGGATCGGGGAAGCTGTGCTGCCTGTCTATCAAAGGCTAAATATCAACAGGACCAGGGTTCAAAAAAAGACATAGGCAAAATTCCTTGTAATAAATCTGGCTTTGTTTAAAACTTAATTTTAACAAATTTGCAGAGTTTTTGCATTTATTAAGCTGATCAAGAGGTATTAATACTGAAAACTGTCCATTTTAAACATCTGACATACAGCATATTAATCAAATATCGAATAAATTCTAAAAGCATGCTGTTACATTATGTAATGTATTAGGATAAATAGATAACAAAATTTAGATATACAAAAGTGCAATTTCCCAGATAAATAGGTGACCATTTATCAGAGTTTACCATGAATTAACTGACCTGCTACTTACTCCACCTTTCATATTATGAGACTATCCAACTATCTGGTGATGAGGATAATGATGGTCTCAGCCACAGTTAGCCGAGTGTTTATCATAGCAGATATTTCCATTTCTTGAAAATGTCAAGAAATGCCCCAGACATCAGCTTTTGGTGTATTTCTGGTCATGACCACAATGGTCTGCTATTTGGGCGTCTGTCATGTAAAGTGATATGAAAAAACCTGCATTCTTTAAAAGAAGAAAAAAAAAACTTGAAAACTTAACTTCTGATATGATGAGAATCAAGAAGCATAACTAACTCTTCCAGCGCTGGGTGAAAGTTTTCAATATAAATAAATACATATTCTCATCTTTTCAGAGAGCGTCTGGACCGCAATAAATCTTATCCAGTTCACAAATTTGTGTCATATACTAAGAAACTAAAGTTGACGGAGAACAATAGCAGACTGTTTTCATATTCAGCTGAGGGAAATGGAACTGTAATAAGTGTACTAGATGCTATGACATGGTTGGTTCATACCAGTGAAATCTGGTTTTATAAACAATTTGGCTCACTTGTGCACAGAATAACAGATAAAAACAGCTCATTCTTGATCTTGGAAACAATTTTTGACAAAACATTCTCATTTACTCATGGTAAATTTTGGAGCCTTCAGTTATTCTACATTTTCTTCATCAGCAGGTACAGTTTGCCCAGGTGTCATGGAAATGTAGGTGTTTGCAGTGTTTAGCAAACATCCTATGCATGTTCATGTGTCAGTAATGCTGTGTTTGATATGGTTAAAAGACCCTGAAAATGTACAATCACAAATCAAGAATTCACTTCCATTCTCAGATTTTAGAGATTTTTTTGGCTTTTTTTTGTTTATTATTATTTGCCTACATTTGGCTGCCTGGCTTGGATCCAAAATTTCTTAAATTGCAAATGAAGTTGCAGTGCTTTTGCAGTTTACACTATTGGGTAATTTTTAAACTTAGATTTTGTTGTCTTTTTACAAACCATTAACTCTTAGGGATAACAAAACTGGACAGAGGAAGACAGGACTATGATTGTATATCTCTGTGTAATGATTCTGTTTAAAGCAGTGCCAGAAAGTGCATATGGCTCATAGGGTCTTAATATACAGTCCAAAATATGGCTCTCTTGGAGGAAAAAATGTATTTAGCTGAATGTGACAAACTCGACTAGACTCCAACGTAATAAAAAAAAAAAAACAGAAGTCTGCCAATGCGCATGCTCATAGCATTGCACTCTGTTACGCTTTAGTTCAGCTTCTCAAATTACAAGCGGCAGCCGTCACGCTTCCTAGTTTCTAACCAATAGCACTGCAAGCTGAAGGTCACATGTCTAGCCTCGCTGAGCTTTGACGTTCACTGTGTCTCGGAGCTGAACACAGGGGTGAGTTTCCAAACTGAGTTTATGTAAGCAATGACTAGTATTTGTACAAGTTGATCACTGAAGGTTGTTGCAGCGTGTTCAGCTGTAATGAAGACAATCCAGAAGCTGCCTTCTTTTGTGCTGTTGCAAATAAAGTTAGTGTCGGTGGTGCACGTTTAGTCATTATGTAACGATCATAGAAATGTGTGCAGTCCAAGTGTACATGTGTGCACTTTCATTCAGTAACTACAGCTGCAGTCTAACGCAGTGCTAGGCGATATTTAGACGATAATACGTTCGTAAATCTGCTTAGAAGTCATTGGAAAGACAAGATGTTTAGAACAGAATTTCCCTGTGAATCAGAACCTTTTTAAAGTGATTTCAGTGTCAAAGTAATTCTCTGATAGTTACGTGTGCACCCCTGAATGCAGAGCAAACACGACCTCCTGATAAAGAATTCGGCATACTTTTAAATAAAAATACTTTTAGGCAACTTTATTTCTTCTTTTTGTCTGACTTCTGGCTACAGTGTGGAAAACCCTTTGGTCAGAGTAACTACAGATCTGCACTGTTTCTATGGCTTTAGAGTTATAACTGGCCCAAGTACAGGTAAAGAGAAAATCCACATTTCAAATGAAAGCTGACATGATCATTTCTATTCTTTTTGGTTTCTGAGTCACATTCTGTATTAATGCTGTTACGTGCAATTGAGACTATCACTGTGATTTTACACTGTAGATAAGGCATATCTACTGAGGCACGATTTAACTTCATGCCTTAGCACTTAAGGAAATTAGCCTGTGATTCAAACGTCCCATATTGTGTTCCTTTTTAAGCAAAATAGTAAAACTGTTGCATGTCTTCAGAATGTATCTTTCAGCTTAAAATCTGGCAAAGATAATTAATTTCATAAGCCCTGGTTTCAGTGTCGGTAGCTGTAAACGCAGTTAGGTTGCTGTCCACAAGTCCTTCAGGAAGAAGATGCTCTGCATCTACGATTGACAGTGATTGACTATATATCACTTTTAACCTTCTCTTTAAATTATTATTTTACATGATAATGCAGCTGAATTCACAACTCATGTGTATGGAGTGCTGGGAGTGAATAAAGACTCGTGGTTGAGACATTTCAGAATAAAAAAGCACCTACTGACAGTAAGTAAACCTGGTGGACTGAAAGGCAACAGCTTTTTTGGAATAGTTCACTTCAGAAGCAGTGGACAGTGAGGGGTCAGGATTAAATATGAAGTCTGAGCTAAGTGACTATTGATTCCTCAGTTGAAATGCAGCATCTTAGTAGAACTCTTACTGGCTTGTAAAGCTGGGAGGCCATCTAGTTGTGGGGGCTTAAAGAATGGCAGAGCTTTAAGAATGTGGTCTTAAGCTTATTGCATGTGAAAAGAAAAGTGTGAAAAATAAGCAAACAACAGCACTGAATGGTTGAAATCTCACTGAGCTCTCTTCAACATGCTGAAGTGCGTTTGACCATGGCGGAACAGAGCACACTGCACAACTGCAGAAAGAACAGGCAACTGAAATGGTTCGATTCTCGTTCACTTGTAGTGATCCTACTTATTCTCAGTGATGGAGGTTGATGGTGAAAAAAAACAAGAAAAATGTTGGAAATTTAAACAGCTGTCCCTAGACTATGATTTAAATATTACCAATCAATGATTGGCCTGTTCTTAAAGCTGTAAGATAAATTTACTGGTAAAACTAATTTCTTCATATGGCCTTTTACCGCAGGCTGCAGCCGTTGTGAGTGATCTAATAAACTTTAAATGAATATTTATTGTGTGGGACTTTATAACTGTGAGTGACTGAGTACTATAAATCAAACATGTCAAGGGAAACTTCTAATGGTACGACATAATGTTATCTCCACTGATTTTATAATGCATGGTAATGTATAGGTGGTCACTTAGGGTTATTCTCTAAAGCTAAAGGAGGTCAAATGCTGCAGCCAGCTGGAAGACCACTTTGTTTAAAAAATAGTCTGTCAATCATTAGCTCTTGGAACAACAGATTGTACTCTACTAATTTACAAAACTGTGGCATTTTGTGCTGCTCTTCCCCGACACAGCTTCTCACTCAGTCTATTATGTGCTTTGATGTCTTTTTTCGATAGATCTTTCTCTCAGTTAAGTTAGAGCTCCTGTCGACTGTGCTTTTTTCTGTGTCAATCCAGCCGTAGTGTCCTCATGGTGTATTTTAACTGGCAATTATTCTCTAGAAACAGCTGACAGTAGGAGTCTGTTTAAAATGTAATGTATCATGCAGAGCATCTTCTAGTAGATATTACAACAGTAAATCAGATATTTCTAAAAACGAAATCTCATTTATTTGATTTATTAAATGGTTTGTGCGCATTTCCCCATCTGCTGAACTACTCATATTCTAATTTCTATTTTTCATTTTCAAAAGAGACAGAATGCATCATCAAAATGAACCTGTCGTTTATGTGTGTTTTTTCATGTGTTTGTTTGTGTTGGATACAGCAGCAGTGAAAGGTGCACTATGGGCCGCCTGGATGGGAAAGTGATTGTGTTATCTGCCGCTGCGCAGGGGATCGGACGTGCTGCAGCAATCGTAATAAGCTTTAATAAGAACTTTCTACTGATCTATTTCCCTCTAAACCACACAGGAATGCTGTTTATTTACTGGTTTGCTGTGTGCAGACTGAAAGCCGTCTATTTCTGGTACTTATTACGGCCACTTGTGTGCGCAAATAGTAGATTCAAATTTTATGGGATGTGATACCATTTGTAGCAAGAGTTTGAAAAGCATTTTTTTCATACAAATTACTGTGCTGCAGAAATAGTGATTCTTGAGAAAATGAAAACATAGGTTCAATCATCATGCACAATCCGGTGATATTCTTGCCAAAGAGAAACATGCAGCACTTGAAAATCTTACAGACATCCTTGTCAAGACTAGGTAATCACCATATCTATTCTCTTCAAATGCTGTCTTTAAGTGTGCACAATGTGCCTTGTGTTACAGGGATTTGTGTCTAGTGTAGTACGGAGGTATTCAATACAAAGGTTTGTTTTCGCTGTCTCAACTCATTAGATTCAAATCACATAGTATTAAAGATGCAAATGGTCTAAAGGATCTGCAAAGCAATTCAATTTACAGTTTAAAAGGAGTGCTTTGCCTGGAGGGTTTAAAGAGAGAGTTGAGGGATTTGAGGGATAATGGTTAGAAATTGACATTCTGTGTTATCAGATGTGTGATATTAAGATCTTGAGTATGATTGATTATTTTAATTAAGCCCTGAGGTCACTATGTGCATTCAGGCAGCAAATTAGATCTTGTAAGTAACATACCTGTCGCCCATGCTTCTGTTTTTTTTTCCAATCAATAAAAGTTTATTTAACTAAGCATCCACAATAGTTAAGTAAGTAAAACATGGGTTTGGATCATAGGATTACAACAAATATTCTTTTTTATGCATGGTAATATCAGGATCATATACCGTGATGTGCAGACATTGTGGAACATCTTGGAACTGACTCAAGTTTTTCCAACTGCAGGCCTTCGCGAAGGAGGGCGCTCAGGTCACTGCAACGGACATAAACGGAGAGAAGCTGAAGGAGCTGGACGGCATTCAAGGTAAGTTTCCTCGCAGTTGGTCTGCAGCCGCCATCTGCTGGACGACGAGTGGAATGCAGACAGGATGTCTGGTGGACAGAGAAGCATTGTGTCTGCAGCAGAGGAGGCTGCATTTAACAGGGCTGCAGTTGTAGCATTTCTAAGACCATTGTTTTTCATGAACTCTACTCCAAAGGGGAGCTAACTCTTCCAGTACAACAACACTAGTAAAAAAAGAAAAATTAAATATACATAGTACATTTCAGTACAATTTCCCTGAGGTTCTACCAAAGGGATCAATAAAGTTCTATCTATCTATCTATCTATCTATCTATCTATCTATCTATCTATCTATCTATCTATCTATCTATCTATCTATCTATCTATCTACAGTTTGGGTGGAATAAACTTTTAAAACTATAAAAACTTGGACGGACAGTAGTATTTTGGGTGAAATAAACCATACAGGCCATCACTTGTTGGTTAGAAAGTACTATTTGGGTGAGCAAACCTTGGAGTACTTGGATAGAATGTAGTATTTTGGGTGCAACAAACTACAAACTGTAAAATAATACCTTGCGTTTGTGGTGGTGCTCTCGTGACAAACAAGGGTCCAAGAGTCGCTGTCCTGAAACTGCAGCGTCCTCTGCTGCAGACGATTAATATTGGGTGGATGTTTAACCTTCCTTTCACATCAAGTAGACAAGCAACACAAACAAATAGAAACAATTTCTGAATTTATCTTATTAGTGTACTTTCAAAATATGACCTAGCTTACACCGATCAGCTGTAATAGTACGGCACGGCAAAGAGCCTAAGGCATTGACACAGCCTCCAAACTCCCCCAATCTGATCAAGTATCTCTGGGATGTGCTTGAATAAGGGTCCAACACAATATTAGGCAGGTGGTTTAATGTTTTGGCTGATCCTTGAACTGTAGAATGTTGCTGACGCTCAGGTGATAAATTACTGCTCACTGATTTCCCGCACCATGATTAGAGCAGCTAATTAGAATTCAGCCACCATTCATTTTACTATTCTTTTCTGTTCCCCCTGTGTTGCATCAAGTTGTCCTCCGAGAACATTAGATAAAATCTTCCTAATACACACACACACACTGCTGCATAGCACACACTAACCCTGATTAATGTCGGCTGTTTGCACAAGCTCCATTAATCTAATTTCCACTGTATAAATTAAACTTTTAATCGCTTTTGTTGTTGTCCTTCTTCACAATATTTTAAATGTGTGTCCTTTTTAAAAATAGCTTTTAGTTTTAGTTGATGTATATATTGATTTATATCTTTATCTGTTTACATGGCTCTGTAATAACTGAGGAGCAGGCTGATGGCTCCTCATGTATTCCAGTCACAGCTGGACTAGAGATGGGAATAAGTAGGTTTGAATATATAGGAGATAATGAACAGTGTTCCCTCTCTCAACATGCTTTAGCACTTTGTCTCTAATTGCTTCTGGAAGAGCTGAGATGTAGGTTGAAAGTGTCTGTGTAAGTGTGTGAATGTGAAACAGTGTAATGCCAGAGGACAAGGTGAAATGAATTTGTGTAGTAAGTTTTTTCAGTTTTGTTGGCCCGATATTTTTCATAAAACTGCTGAGTTGTTTAAGTTGTAACTGTTTAGTGAAGCTCATGAGTGAAGACATGTAAATCTTCTGTCATATATCGCGCATATATTATGTGTAATATGTACATGTTATTATGATGAAAGCAGTGTCATCAAAACTAACTGGGACATTTTTCTTTTCTTCGTCAGGGATCAAGACCAAAGTGGTGGATGTGACAAAGAGGGACCAAGTGGAAGCTCTGGCCAAGGAGCATGACCACGTAGATGTGCTCTTCAATGTTGCGGGGTACATTTCTTGTTATGTTAGTTACTGAAAACGTAACACATTAACTATACATGTGTTTAATCCATAGCAGAACAATCAGTTTGAATTGCTCCTCCAACATTCTGTCTTCACAATACATGTTTATCCATCTCCTGCTTAGCGACATTTTCAAAATCCGTATACCATGCGGTTTAACCTCGACTTGACCTTTCCTCAATCTCCTTAACAAAGGTCTCTAAATTATGACCTTTGAGGATCAGTAAAATGTTGAGGGGAGGGACACAGGTTTTTGTCTTAGAACAGAAATGGTTTGCATTTTATGTATTTAGTTTATCTGATGGCTTTTTGATTCTAATTCTTATTCAAATTCTAATGATTTACTCTGACTCACAGCTCAAGACGTGCAAATGATCATATTTGATGTTGTAATTGAGCGAGACCATTGTAGCTGCTCTCTGAGTTTACATGCCATCTGTTGCACACAGGTTTGTGCACCATGGCTCCATCTTGGACTGTGAAGAGGCTGACTGGGACTTCACAATGGATGTGAACATACGGAGCATGTACCTCATGTCCAAAGCTTTCCTGCCCAAGGTGACCTTTGCCCTCTTTACCAAAAGCTGATCTCTGTTTTGTTGAGGGAATGAAATGGGGGGCTGTTTAAACTTGAGTGACATATGCCTTTAATTTTGTTCTCATGCTTTGTCTGCTGGGATTAGCTGTATTACTCTGAGCGCACTGTGACATGATGGGCAGTGACTGCCCAACTACTAATCCAGCTTTAGCCACAAACTAACCAAACTGTCTAAAAGGCGAATTTCAACTCAGACCATAGCACATTTGCCAGGTCTTTGTTATATAACTATCATTAAATAGTTGTATTCTCCATCTTACCACTTATATTCTGTTAATTTGCTGCTATCCTCATTTATTTTGTCATTCTAGATGCTGGCAAAGAAGTCAGGAAACATTATTAACATGTCATCTGTTGCATCAAGCATAAAAGGTAAAGATCTTCCCTGTTTCTTCTCCCCGTGGAAGCCTGTAGGACTAAGATTATTCCCAATTAAACAGACAGTAGGCCTTTGAAGTATGACCATTCATTGTAATCCTCTTATCTCAGATAACTGCCTTGCGTGTGTGTCTATGTGTGAGTGACAGATGTGTTTCCTCGACACAGGTGTTGTGAACCGATGCGTCTACAGCACCTCCAAGGCTGCAGTGATTGGACTCACAAAGTCTATAGCGGCCGATTTCATTGAGCAAGGCATTCGCTGCAATTGTGTTTGTCCCGGTAAGTCTAGAACACTGTGCAGAATAACACCATGTCACTGCGTACTGCCATAATAATAATAATAATAATATTAATACTGTGAACATCCATGAGACCAAATTAAATCAATGTTTTTTTTGAAAAAGTTTGAGGAATTTTCATGTTTGTATTTTAAATATACATAAGCCTTGAGTTTGGCCTTTAAACGCCAGTCTGAATAACTTCTATTTCTAATATTGTTTGTACAAAAGACCTTGCCTGAACCTAATCATACCTATCTGATAACAAGAATCATCCCTTTCGTCAAAGGCTTGCTACATTTCTGTATTCAGTCTTGTGTTATAATGATTTTTTTAAATCTTATATTTCCTCAGGAACTGTTGATACTCCATCACTGAGGGGTCGGATCCAGGCCCAACCTGATCCAGAACAGGTGACGTAGACTCTGATTTACATTTTCTCCATCATAATCTGACAGCAATGTCTGCATGAGCCTTTTAGCGGATGTTACACGTTATCATGGCTTCCACAAGGAAAAATATAGATGGCTGGGTTTTGAAGATAATGAAAGCTACAACTTCTCTGCAGGCTTACAAGGATTTCATGGCAAGACAGAAAACTGGCAGAATGTGCACAGCTGAGGAGGTAGCATACCTGTGTGTGTACCTGGCCTCAGACGAGGTGAGTGTTTGCAGAGATGCCTTTATCGAGTCATAGATTATACGTATGCTTATCTGTAGACGTACAGACATAAAGGTAGACAAAAAAAAAAAAAACGGGATATTGTCAGTCATTAAATAATTTACCAGTGATTTTATTGATCTTGTTTCCTCCACAGTCAGCTTATGTGACCGGGACAGAGCAAATCATTGACGGAGGTTGGAGACTGTGAGGAGACATGGGGTGACAGCAGGTTTTTGTTGTTGCAAAATCCCAAATCATAGTGGGTGCGATTTAATTATTTCTCCTTTTTGATTTTGTAAAAAAAATAAATAATAAAATTGTCCAACTTTTGTAATCCTAAAATATCCACATCCTGACAACTGTTGACAGATCTTGTAATGAATTGATTATACAGCAGCAGCAGTTTGCTTTGAGTAACCCTCCTTTTAAATAAAGATATGCATTTTGAATCCTTTACGAAGCATTTGTGTGATTTTTTTTATTTTTTTTTACTGTGAATAATGATCTATAAATATGATTAAAACGTCCTGAGCAACACTCCTGAGGGACTCTTTCATTTCACCTCAGTCAACACTCGTGTGTGTGTGCGCGCGCTATAACTTGCCCGGCTATCACTAATCCGCCTCATTCCCAGCTGGTGTATCTGCCACCGGACTGCTAGAAACTGCCACTCCCTGCTCACAATCGATGGCCATTTTTATGATATGAGGTGAGCTGCTTTTTCTTCTCTCATGTTATATTTAGAGAGTTTCGCTGCAGCGGTCCCTGTAGCTAGCTACCGTCCTACATTGCGTGTGACTTGACAGCTGTTGGCAAGTGACTCGCAGGAACCGCCAGCTACCGAAACGACATCCAATGTCGGACGAGAGCCACTTCTCCACGCTGTGCGTCGCTTAATCCCAGCACAGGGAGCCAAAGTTAGCTTTGTATTATTTACCGAAATGAGACGCCGCGGGTCGTCGCGTCAATTTAGCGTTAACGTCGCCGTTACTTCTGCGCAACATTCGCCTAAATGGCAAAGCGCTTACCAACGTTATTTCAACCGGAAGGCAGTAAAACGCGTTGTGACACTGTAATACATATCTAACCTAATGTTAGTTGGTTAAATAGGCTAAATGACAGGCTAATGTTATATGTAGCGCACTACGAAGGGACTAGTTTGTTTGCAGGTGATAGTGAGACAGCGTGTGTCCGATAATGGATTCACTGAGCAGCTTTATCACCAGGCGTGGATTGAAGCGTCATGAGCGGCTCATGTCTACAGGCTTTCTGGAGCTACACGTGTGTACAGTAGCTCCATAACAATGAGCGAAGCGCTAAAACAGCCCAGTCTCACACACCTGGGCTGCCTAGCTGGCCAACTACCCGGCTGTCGATGCCGTAAGGTTTGTTGGCCGTTGCTGGTTCACTAACCTCCTTGTATTAGCATTCCCAGTAACCTACTTGAGCTAACGCTAGCTCGATGTGCCATATGGTGGAGCTGTAAGCTTTGATTAGTGTGGTCTATTCCCAATTGGATTAACCCAAGTCTGTTGCCATAAGCAACTGTCAAAACATTGTAGTAGTGTTAGTTTAGCCTGTATTAGCTACCTGTCAACGTTTGTGTACAATAAGGCTCTAACTAAAGCTATTTCGTTGACCACACTGAGTAGTATTTGTAACAGGTTAGCTACTGCCGAGGTACATTTTAGTGCTAATCGGACATGTTGGCATATTCAGGTAAACACAGCAGCCTGCACACAGTAGCCAGAGTGTGCATATTAGCTTCATAGATCTACAGACAGTAATCGCGTTGCAGTTTTTCTCCCCATCTTTTTTAAACATTACAATGAAACGTCTGTGTTCTCCACAGCAGATCTGAGTGAAACCCAGCTTATCGTTTCCCTTCATGCCAACTTCCACACCTTCACCAACCCCACTGGTATCAGTTATTAAGTAACCAATAATTACTTTTTCTCTACTGATAAAGTTATGTTGTATGAACAGGAGCCTGAGGCCAGTGCTGGACATACAGAAGCAGAATTTAAGGAACTGCCCATCAATGGCCAACTCCACCCCTGGGCTTGATGTACTGTGATAGAGAAGTGAGTAGACCAGAAATACTGCAGCTGACAGCCATGGAGGAAACCCAACAGAAACCTGCTACCCCAGAGCCGAGCCCAGCACCCAGTCCGGCACCCAGTCCAGCGCCCAGCCCAATACCCAGCCCGCTGCTGGACAGAATCGCTCTGCCTGCTGCAAACCACGTGGAGGTATGGTATTTTACTAGAATGCAAGTTTCATACTTTATACTCTGGTACCCTCGCCCGATTACAAATATTGCCTTTTTTTTTTGCAGAAAAAAAGGTTGTGTGTGTACATATGTATTTATTCATAGAACTTGAAAATTTAGACCACACATAAATGGTAAAAACTGATGATCAAATTTAGTGCTTCTATGTTTTATGTACTGCTCTCTTGCCTCGTTAACCCTATTCAGGACTTTTGGGTCTTTTGGAACCCAGGCCATTTGGTTCAGGTGACAGGTATTGTTTTTTTATTTTTGAAGATTTTTTATTTTTTTTAAACATAAAAAGAGGGACATTTGTCGTGCATTTGGAACCAAAAATACATCAACTTATCAGAAAATGTATTAAACATGGTATTAAAGTCTATCATGAATACCAACAAATATTTTGCACATATTCTTTCTTGGGGTCCAGTGGACCCTGAAAGACCTTCTACGTATGGCAACATGAAAATCCTGAATAGGGTGAAATAGAATTATTTTCCTTAGTGTTTTAAATTAGCTGGAAAGCAGCTTGAGACAAAGTCAGAACTTTGAGCCAACGTATCCACCTGAGCAATGCAAAGAGGAGGGTGTTCTGCCAGTCAGAGGGTTCATATCTTCACTCTGTTATTTGGCGAGATTACAGTACATTGTAATCTACAGGAATGACGTGCCCCTGTGTCAACATACTGATAAGGTACTTAAGGGTCACTACAGGGACATCCACCGGCTTTCTATTGTTTGCATAAGTGCAGCATTCATATTTGTGTCACTGTGATACATTAGATATCATGAGCTGTGAGGTTGAGCTAACATTTGTTTTGACTGGTCATTCCCCCATGTAAGTAAAGTATATTGTTCTCAGTTGTCATTGTTCAGACAATAAATGCTATTAGATTGTTTTTTTTCACTCATCTTCTGTTTATTCGGCATGTGGTTTTCTGCAATCTACCATAATGCTGAATGTGATCACTGACCCACTCTGTCCCATGTACTGATTCTTTCTTTACAGCACCTAAATGTGAACCAGATCCAGGTGGTAGTGCGGCGTTGCTCTAGTCCAAATGTAACCGAGGAGACTACTTATTTTATTCCTCGCAACCCTGTGGTGGACGCTGGCACCAACACAGACCCACCAGTGGTCTGTTGCCCTTTGCTGCACAGATTTTGCCCATGTCCACCAAGAGGCCTCCTTGCCTCGCTCATTACCAAAGGTAAGCCAGAGGGTTTACTAGTTGGCTTATTGATTTTCTATCAGGGACATATGTTTGATGTCTCTCTCTTTTATTCACACAAGACGATGAAAAACTGCAAATCATGTGTATCTTGTTTATCTTGAACAACCTGAGAAATGCAGTCATGTTTAGATAAATAAATATACTGTACACTTGCACACTCAAGTACCTCAAATTTCTGTTTACATTCATAGAGATGGTCAGTTATTAATGACTAAGCTCTTGGTAGCCATGCACATTATTAACACGTAAAAAAAAAAAAAAATCAGGATAGCGATTATAGCACAGCAAATATGCTTGCAGTGTAGTAGTAGTATACAGTAGTGTACCCCTCGTCCTATGTTAATGTCTATAAATCATGATTACACACACAGGTGACATATGCCATGCCTCTGTATTCTAATGTGAGTCTCCTCTGTCCTCTCCAGTCCTTTTGGCAGCTGTTCTCTTTGGAGTGGTTTGGTCTGTCACAGAGGATGAATGTCTTCCAGGAGGGAACCTGTTTGGCATCACAATACTCTTCATCTGTGCGCTCATCGGTGGCAAAGTGGTGGCTCTCATCCGTCTGCCCAAACTTCCACCATTCCCACCCCTTCTTGGTATGGCAAAAAAAAGCAATGTTTTTTTCTTTACAGGATGTTATTTGGATGTCAGTTTAAGTATTTATACATAATATTATGTACACAGCTTCCTCCACCAATACCGGGGCTTCAGACTGCCACCAAAATGGTTGCATTTGCGACCCTTTTTGAGAGTGTGCGAGTTAAAATTTCAAGCGGTTGCATTGGTGCAAGTGCATGATGATCATTAAGCTGTATTAGTGTCGCTGTTACCGGCACAGAACACTGCTGTGTGGACCACAGTGATGGAAAGTAGCACTTTAGTAAGTAAGTAAGGTGTACTGCTGTATTTATGCTTAAAAATAAGGTATTCCCTTGAAAAACAGAGCGCATCTGCATTCGTTGTTTTTTCCGCTCATAGAAACGGGCGCATGGGGAAAAAAATCAATCGGTTTCATTTTGGACAAATCTAACATTAGAACACCCTAGTTAACTTTTTTAAAATGATTTTTGGTCTCACACCTGTCTGAGCACACCACAGATACCAACAACTGTTACCACAGCCTGCTATGTGGGGAGTTTAGGGAACATCGGTAAATTATAGCGTCTATCGATCAGAAAATGTTCAGCAATTCATATGTTTTGTATGTGACCAGGTGGGGGGCTGGAGCCTATCCCAGCCGACTTAGGGTGAAGGCAGGGGACACCCTGTACAGGTCACCAGTCTATCACAGGGCTACACTTAGAGACAGACAACCAAGCACACTCACATTCACACCTACGGACAATTTAGAATCACCAATTAACCTCAGCATGTTTTTGGACTGTGTGGGAGGAAGCCGGAGAACCCGGAGAGAACCCACGCTGCACGGGGAGAACATGCAAACTCCACGCAGAAAGATCCCGGTGCCCCCACTGGGACACGAACCGGCAACAGTGCTACCAACTGCGCCACCCTGCAGCCCTATGTGTAGTTTTAACTTAGTTATATAGAATAGAATAGAATAGAATAGAATAGAATAGAATAAAACTTTATTGATCCCTTCGGTGAACCTCAGGGAAATTGTTGTACTAGAAAAACAACACAACACCAACACAACATCAGCAACAACAATAACAACAACAACAATAATAATAATAATAATAATAATAAATATAATAATAATAAATATAATTAAAAATAATAATTAAAGTAATTTAAGTATGGATTGCAGAATATTTTTCCAAGGTTGGCATTTGGAAGGTTGTCGTGGTGGTTTTTGTTTTCTCCTACTATTTTTAAAAACAATATTGTTAGCCTACATGGTAATGGGCCTGTTACTTTAGTTGTTACATACTACTTTAATTTATCAGATGTGACAAATGTGTTGGTACTCCATAATCTATGGAAACATTTTAAATCTCTGTATAATCAAAATGTAATATGACTACACCCCTAATTTATTCAGTTTCCGTGATAGAAATCAAGGAAACTGTTAGCCACTCCTTATCTGTAAATAAGATCAAAGGTAGATTAAAGTACAACTTGGAGTTTATTTCTCTCTGCACGTCACTTTCCTGTGTTTTCACTTTTGAAAAACTCTCAAAAGACCCACCTTGTTTTTCAGTTCAGTGGTAATTTAGAATTTTCTTGGCTTTCCTCTGTTGTCGGTCATTAACAGGTTTTAATATTTGCCATAAATCACGTCAATTTGCCATCATTTTATTATTCTTAACATATGTTAATTCATAATTTAACAGAACAGCAGTCAGGCAAATTATGCAGTTTTGATCTTGGAAACCTGAATTCTTTGTGTTAGAACACAATATTCTCAGTCCACACAGCGCCTCAGTGTCCAGTTTGAGCACCCTGCGTTCAAAAAGCAAAAGATGAGCTTGATTCTTGTTCCATGGTGTGTGAGAGACAGCCCTGAAGAATAAACAGCGCTTCATGGTGAGATGAATCACCTTTCCTTTTTCTCACCCTCTGCTGTGCTGCAGGTATGCTGTTGATGGGTTTCCTGCTGAGGAACATCCCTGTTGTAACAGATGGGGTGTACATTGACTTCAGATGGTCTGCATCACTGAGAAACATTGCTCTGGCTGTCATTCTGGCAAGAGCTGGTCTGGGCTTGGATCCCACGGTATGGTTATAGTCTACTACTGAAGCTTAGTATGGCACACAGAAATGTCTATAGCGATATGATTTATGTCCTTCCCTCATACATGTGCATATGGCTTCCCAATACTAAAGTTTTCAGTAGTCACTGCTGATGAATATTTTCTAAATGTGTCTTAAATCAATAAACCTGCAAATTCTTATTAAGTATTGCTAAACTCCTGTCTGAGTTGATCAAAGGCGATGTCTTTAAATTGTTTACATTTCTTGACTAGTGCTCAAAAAAGTATTCAATTTTCAACCATGAGTAAAAGCAAGCAATTCAGAGCTTCTTGGATAACATGTAACCACTAAGTGTTTGGTATTTTAGCTTTTAAAGCCGTTCAATTGGTTAGCTGCAGTGTCATTTTCACTTTTCAAACGTTTCAGTGAGTAACTGAGCTCTTTCAGTGCCACTAAGCCTCATTGTGCTTGTTAATATTCTTTGCATCTCTGTACAGAATTTTGATTAATTACTGGTGAAAGCTCTTGAATGATGTATGTTTCCATCATCAGGCTCTGAAGAAACTAAAATCTGTGTGTATACGGGTGGCAGTTGGGCCCTGCACGATCGAGGCTTGCACCATCGCCCTGGTCTCTCACTTCCTCATGGGCCTGCCCTGGGTGTGGGGCTTCATCCTTGGGTAACTACGACACTACTCACTGTCTTTCTGTGCCCAATTATCCATTTCTTACTTATTAACAAGTACCATCATCGCATAATACTAGGAGAGACAGACACATTTCCACTGAGGAACTGATTTCAATTTTGATTTTGCAACAGGCCGCAATAAAACTAAGGACTGTATGAGCCCTATGCAAAAGGTTGACCCAACAACCACAAAGGTTTATGTTCAGTTAGTTGTTGTTGTAAATGTAGGTGCTCTTAAAGATGAAAAAAATAATCAGAAAAAAAAGTGGTCTTAGGAAGAGAAAGGAGGCAAGTTATATTAAAAGCCTTTACTTGATCGTGCATAAAATGCAAACTGGATCTGACCTCAGTGGATCTAATTTTTTACAACTAAGCTTGGCATTTGGTCTAGATTTGGACTATCAGCTGAGTGAGCAGACTGTTCAGCTCTCTGAGGTACAGGAGATAGGAGATTGCTGAGTGAGCATGTCTAGTGTTACAAATAAAACATGGAAGGCTGCATCTTGATCACAAAGACAGGTTAGACTAACTGTGCAAAACACCTACAGGGAACATGTTCCTGTGAAGGAGAGGACAAAAACGCACTGCTCGCAGAAAGTCACATTACAAGTTCTTATCTACTTACACGCAAATTATTGTTGAGTAATGTCTTTTAAACCTTTCAAAACCTAAAAATAAGGGCCTTTTATAGGTACAAGGTACAGCTAACAACTTTATACCATTTGTCATATTAAAAAGAAATCCTTAAGTCTAGGGCCTTTTATACATCTGTTTCATCAACATTTATGGCATCAAGTTCAACATCTAAAAGCGTGATGCGTGCCGTCAGTAGTAGTTGGGGTTAATGTGCGGACGGCCTGTTTCCCTGCATGTGTTGCTTATCGGTGGATAAAAGGGTGGCTGGGGGCCAAAACAGATATTATTCTTTACTGACCTGATTACAGTCTTAAACAAACAGTGTACATTTTTTTTTATATATATATACAATTTAAGATGATTCATAGCAGATTTTCAATAGTAAAAGTGTGTTTGCCATGTAGTTAAGATCTGTAAGCACCCATGATCAAGGCATCATTCAAGAAATGCAGTCTTCATGCCATCAAGTGTGAGCACAGAATCTCATATCAGCTGCAGTATTAAGCATGTGTTTAAATGTCTCCACTTTTCACCGTATAAAATGTGTCTTGGGCTTTTGCAATGTTTTCCAAAGGCATTTTAAATTGGTTAAATCTTTGAAAGAGTTAGGAAATGAATAAATAATTCCCCTTCTTCCCTTTGTAGCTTTGTGCTGGGCGCTGTGTCTCCCGCAGTCGTTGTTCCCTCCATGCTGTTGCTCCAAAAGGATGGGTATGGTGTGGAGCAGGGCATCCCAACCCTGCTGATGGCTGCAGGCAGCTTTGATGACATTCTCGCCATCACAGGGTTCACCACATGCTTGGGCATGGCCTTCGCCACAGGTAACCTGTGAATGTATGTGTTTGCTTGCGCAGAGAAGTGATGGAAAATGAGAAGTGCTGAATTAGTGTTCTTTTTTTTGACACACAACACCACCTTATCTCCAGGAGAGAGTCAGCAAGTTCAGTGTCTCAACACTGGAAAAATACTCTTAGAAATTACTTATCTGTAGTTTTTCAGAAGCTCAGCAGAGGGTAGAAGAGTGCAGATTGCTCTCAGAAACTTTTTTTTTTTTTTACCAATTGCATTTTGTGTTTCATGACTTGAGTGAGCCACATTATTGCCTCTACATTACTATACTAAGGTACATAGAAAAAACACAGTAATTCTACATGAAGATCTGCATATACTCACTACTGCTTACAGCTAATGCAGTCACATACAATAAAAACCCTACGTTCATGAAGGCTATAACAGTTTTGGAGAGGTGGCGATTTAACTATATGATCAGTGTGGAGGCTGCAATTAATGGTGCTGTTGAACTGCACTGCATTATACCAAGTTAGATTTTGAATATTTAGTCTGCCGAGAAGCGCTTCTCTTTATCATACACTACATTTCAATAGCAGTGTCAAACTATAGATACTAAGACCACCATAAAACTGAACCTCTATAAAACTGTTTCAGCGAACACTGAACTGAACTTTATGAAAGTTGTATTTTTTGCAGGGCTGTTGCATTAGACTGCATCAGTTATACATACAGTAAAAGTTTACATACACTTGGAAAGACCATATATATATTCACCATCTTGAGTTGCTAATGATTCCTATAACTCATTTTCTATGACAGAAGAAACAAGTCTGTGTCAGAGAAGCCGACAAATGCAGTTTAACTGTACCAGTTAAGTAGTGGTCAGAGATACAACTAGAAGCTTGTGGACGGCTACCAAATATGAGCATTGCTGGATGCATATTTATGACCCAGCGGATTTAGTCTTATTTTCAGAAGACTAAATCTATGAAAGACCAAAATGCATGACTATATTTTGTTTAAAAAAAAAAATCAAGAGTTAAAGAAGTTATTGGAAACTCGAGACCTCCATGATATACACGGTATTTACAGGTGTATGTAAACTTTTGTTCGTGACTGTACATGTACCCGATATTCTGGAGTCTTTTTAGAACATTTCAATTCAATGCTTCACATATTTGCTCTGTTAATCCCTCTAGGCTCCACTTGGTACAACCTCCTGAGAGGAGTACTGGAGGTGGGTGGAGGGATGGTTGCTGGGATTCTCCTTGGCTTCCTCATCCAGTACTTCCCTAGTGTTGACCAGGTAGGAAATCTCTTGGAGCATTACCATAGTATGAGCCCGTTTTACAATTGTCTAGTCATCCTTACATCAGTTAGCACCACAGCCTGTGTGTGAAAAAACTTGGGAGCTGTCAGCCAATGCTTGTATTGAAAAAAAGTCAGTTAAGTGTTTTATCTGATGTTAGACTATGACACAATGGCATTTTAGATTCATCCACATAGAAAAAATAGAAAAAAGTTTTTGTAGGTGAAGGACATCCTTACATTACAGAAATGTCCAACTCTAGTAATGTATGTATCAAGGTCAAGGTCAAGGTCACTTTATTAAGACCGGTGGGTAGATTTGTTTTGCAGAAGAACAAATGATAGCATTTGGCAGTCCTTAACAAAATACACATTGAAGAAGACAAGAGACAAAAACAAAGTGCTCAGTATTCCACCATTCATCAGTATAACAGCCAGTATATAAAAAGATAAGATAAATAAGATCAAGATAAGTTTAAATTAAAAAACCCTAGGGGGAAAAATAAATAAAAACATGCATGAGTAAACGCAATGTGTCTGGGATCACCAACCACTCCATATATAATAATATCAATAATAATATCAACTACTTATTTATCTAACTATTATCTTATCTGTTAAACTGACCTTTCTGTATTTTTTCATTGTACTGACTTTCTCTGTAATTGTTGCCGTTTTCTTCTAGAAATACATAGTAATGAAGCGTTCCTTCTTGGTGCTGGGTCTGTCTGTGTTTGCCGTGTTTGGCAGCGGTGTGGCAGGCTTTCCTGGCTCTGGAGGCCTCTGCACCCTGGTGTTGGCATTCCTGGCTGGCTACGGCTGGGGGACAGAAAAGGTAATAGTACATGCATGGTGTATCTATAGTATATACAGTGTGTTTTTTTTTAGCTCTGTATTTGCAGTTTTCCACCTTTAGACGTAAATTTCGACAAGGTTGCTGAAGCGTGCAACCTGTCATTCTACTAGTAATTAAATGTTTACACTGCTGCATGTCAGACAAACTCACTCAACATTTTCTGTTCTGCCTTAAGGCACGTGTGGAGGAAGTGGTGGGGTGGGCGTGGGACGTGTTTCAGCCTCTACTCTTCGGACTGATAGGAGCCGAAATTCGAATCTCTGAGCTGGAGGGGATCACTGTTGGTGAGACCTTCACACACAGCCTTTAAAGTAACACACAGTGAGATGGCTGTTATCATTCTGAACAAAAACACTCAGCTGTGACTGTATGGATGTAAGTATATTTGCATAGCCAAAACAGAGACCACGTGAGAGACATGCTGGTTCATTTGATCCTGTAAATACTAAAACCTGTGCCTGTGTCCTTTATTTGAGTTAATAATGGTTTTCCATATGAGATTGAAAAAGATGTTTGATTTATGACAAAAAAAAAAAGTAATCTTATTCATGTCAGAACTTGTAGCCTGAAAAGTAGCATATTTTACTGAAGCAAAGTTAGACAAAATTTTATTGTAATTATTGTTTTGCTGCTACAAAATTCTAGTAAGAGAATAGTTATTGCAGTATATGTGTCAGTGCCAGCATGGTGTGAAATGCCTGTTATTGTGTCTGTCTAGGTCTGGGTATAGCCTCCCTGCTCATTGCTCTGGTGGTTAGACTCCTGTTCACCTTTGTCTGTGTATTGTGTGCGGGCTTTAACGTGAAGGAGAAAGTGTTTATAGCCCTAGCATGGATGCCCAAAGCCACAGTGCAGGTATGTAAGCATTAAAATATGTTTCTGGTAAGCTGGAAAATATGTCTTTTCCTGTAAGTCATTTTTTGTCGTGCAGTTGTGTTTTTCTTGTGAACAATTTGAATTTAAACTACATTCCTTGAAATATGATTTAGTTTTCAAGTGTTCCCTCATGCTGTTGTGTCAGAGAAAACATTGGTGTTGTCCTTGTCTCCACCAGGCAGCTATAGGCTCCACAGCTTTGGACATGGCCAGAACAAAGGATGACCAGCAGCTGCAGAAGTACGGCATGGACGTGCTGACTGTGGCTGTGCTCTCCATCCTTCTCACAGCCCCTGTAGGAGCTCTTATCATAGGGCTCAGTGGACCTCGTCTGCTGCAAAAACCAAAGAACTCAGTCTGTGGTGAGCGAGTCAAACCCAATTTATCAGCCTTTTTCTTAGGTAGGTAAAGTCCTACATTCAAAAATTCATGTCAGCTTAACAACCCTGCCTAACCTCGCTTCGTAGTTGTGTGTGAGTAGTGAATATCTTTTCCTTACAACGCTTTTGCCTCCTTTAAATTTGTGGTAGCTTTGTCCACACAGACAAGGATTTGCATAGCTGTAGGCCACTTTGTTTACCCTTTCATTCAGTGGCTTAGTTACGTTTGCATTCATACAACAGTGACTTTGTTGCTGACAGTGTAGGAACATGCAATTAAACTCAAAAAAGTGCAACTCATGCTTCTGCATATTGTTTTCTTTATTTACAAAAGAATCTGAATAGCATGTAATAAGTTTTCATGGAATCCCTTCTCATTACTCTTCCTATCTCCATCTCCTCTTCTTCACTCCTAGGCACTGCAGCAGGAGGTGACGATGACAATGAAACTCCTGTCACCTATGAAAGTACGCTCTGACAACATTGTCCAGAAAGACAGGACATTTAAAGAGACTCCTCACACCTCTGATATTTGAGCTTTTCTTCAGCCACCAAGTGGCTCTCTTTGTCTCTCTGTCAGTCGGCTCCTGATGTTTGGCATCGTGCAGCAACACATGAATCACACTATATTTATAGCCTCTGGTGGTTTCCAGGCCTCATGCTCCAAACAAATGACCCCTATTCCACTGTCTGCACTGTCATGCTGTGTGAACACTGTACATGTGGCAGTTTTGCTTCTGGTTTCAAATGATGATTTATTCAAATATAGTAGTGTGAGGCTTACAACAGGTTTACCTTTTTGTAAAGGTGGATACTATTCCTGCCCGTCATGTTCACGAAATCCAATATTTGTCCATTTTTTTAATGACTAGATTTCTTTTGACTGTCTACTGTACTTGAACTTGAAAAGGTAATGCCGTATTTTATTACAATTTTCTTTGGGCGGCTAATTGAATTTACTGTACTGATAGTAGCAATATTTTATTATTGATTACTCTACACAGTAGACAGTAGACACTACACAGTGTTTAGGTGTTCTACGCTCAGTACATTTTAGCGCTATATGTTTGTGTACGTCTGCGTATGTCTTATTCACATATTTATTAGCTTTATGTCTCGGTGGTGAGAAACGTCTGTGTAGTTTTTAAAACTCAGGATATGATCTGAATACTCTGCAAGGCTTTGCTTGTGTTTATACACATTGCTGCTACAAAGACCTATCAACTACTGCATGCATTATGTCCGCTTTCCAATGTCATAAGTTCCCAACAACAATCATGTCCATATGCCCAACAATAATGTAAACCCAAACTTTTATAATTTGATTGTGAACAAAAGTTGATTTTTCGTGATTGTTACATTAGATGTTTTTTTTTATTACATAAGTATGCAGTGTAACTTAAGATATTTTTGATGTGTTTGAATTTATATGACCTCATTTAAAAGGTTGTGCACAAGCAACTGTTTATGATGATAAATAATTATGCATTAGTTTTTTACCAAATATTCTTTAAACAATAAATGATAAAACACACAAAGAATTGTACATTTCTTTGGCATAGCTGTGGTGACAGCTTAAATGATTATGCAACATACACTTTGTATTAACTAAGTTCACTGTCCCTTTTCAGTTTCTGACCGGCTTGCTTTGAAGTCACTCTAGCAGTGTGACCCTACAGAGGACAATGTGGTCCAGACTGAAGGACCTCAACCATTGTATGAAATTCAGTACACTTATCTATGGCTCCCAGAAGATGAATTTCCAATTCCCCAAGCAGGCCAAAGTTATCCAGTGATAGTACTTTAGCAATTTACAATTATGTACAGACATTCATGGTTTCCTTACAATTATGACTTCAACTGATCCACTGCCTTTTCCAAATGTCTTAACAGTGGTTGGATGGATTGCCATTCAATTTGGCACAGACAGTTATTTCCACCTGAACTGTGATTACTTTGGTGATCCTGCATATTAACACTTAAGCTCCATCATCAGGCCAGTATGTTCATTTGTCTGATTAGGAAATGAAAACGCACTGACCAAAGATGGCAAACAGATCTGCTAAACATTCGCACTGAAGGTAACGCTTCCATAAGCACAGTTTCACAGAGCCACATGCAACCAGAGTCTTGTTTCTGATTCTGTAGTAATCACTCTTAATGCAAGTTTTACTTCAAAAATCGAAAAGCACACAGTTACAAGGTGATGCATTCAGTTACCTCTGTGTTCATTTATACCTGTTTCAACTCGAGGGTACATGAAGTGTTCCCCAATCATAATTGTGAAAGACGCTGCAGTTGACTGAAACCTGCTGACCATTTCTTTTGACACGATGAACAAGTTCAAGGCATTACCTTACAAAGCTTCATCAACAGTTATTCATAGTCTTTATGAAAATACAGATCTGATACAAGCCAGTTATGTATGAAATATAGCTGATGAATTACAAAGCAAATTCACTCGCTAGAAGTTTGCTATATGCAGTGGTTATGACAATACAGAAGCAACAACGAGACAGAACACAGATCTTGTTTGCAGAAGTTCTCAAACCTCATTATGGCTACTGAAGTTCAAACTGCATACAACTGGATATTACTCAACATTGCAGTGTTCTGAAATGTTTGCGAATTCAATACAAAATGGAACATTCAAATGCTTAACGGCTATGAACAAAACACATTTAAAGAAAAAAGTAACCTCCCATGCTCACAATAAGTTATCAGATAATATTTCACATCCTTTAAGTGTGGATACTATGTTAATATTTGGCACACAAACTTATCTAGAGAAAAATAACAAAGGCGGCAATTTAATAAACAGAGACTTGTTGAAAATGAAGACACACAGTACAAAATCATTACAAGTTGAACTAGTATTAAGCATTTTACTTAAACAGATCTTTGAGTGGAAAGAAGACGTCTCCCCTGATGGGTTCAGATTATTGAAGGTCATCCTAAAGTCACTGCAATTATGTTTCAAGTTTTCCCCTAAAAGTGGTCCCAGTGGTTTGTGATTGATTCCAGGCTGACTAAAACTCATTTTACAGTCATAAAAATGATGTTCAGTTAACCAGCAAAAGTGAACAAAGGGTCATGAAAAAAAAGGGAAAACCATCTTAACGGCATAAAACCAATAGAGAACGTAAAAGACAGCTTTCAGACACTAATGCAGAGGAATTTTGCATTTTTCGGTAGTTATGACACCAAGAATAGACCAAGACAACAAATTACAAACTGATTAAAAAGAAAACTCCCATCAGTGGTTGATTATAGTATCTTCTTTTTGAGTATGAGCGGTCCCACGTTGTCTCCAGTTAGCTCATTGTGCTTTAAGTGTGACTTATCACAGACAGGAAACTAAAACAGGAAACAACTTAATATTAGCTGATCAGCAATGCAGAAACGCCAAACAGTCCCTTATTCAGAAGTCAAAAATGTACACACATTCATGAAATATCTTTTATAATATATCTGATACCTCAACTATATTTTGCATTCTTTGTAAAAAAATAAAAATAAAAATAACTAACTATGCCACACGCCACTATCAGAGCATTTCACACAATGGTGAAGGTCAGAAAATAAATATTCAACTTACAGTTTTGGAGCGCCAGCAGCGACAGTAACACACATTCGTGCTGTTCAGGTCCTCGATGTCTATCTCATTCACCACTTTTGGGTTCTCTTTCTGGATCTTTAGGTTGATCAGGCAGTCTCTCTGTTTCTTTTTCTTAGGCAGAAATGGGCGAATGGTCAGATAGCCCAGCAAAGCCAGGATACCCAGGAGCGGCAGCAACCGGAGCCACTCAGACACTACAGACAAAATACAGACACATTAGACTCACATTAGCAAAAGGACAAGAGCACTGAAACTGGAATATGAGCTCCTAAAACCAGTCTTTAGCACTGGTTGAACATTTGTTTGTTGTATTCACCCCATAGAGGATAGAACTTTGTGTGCATTTTGGAAAATCTGACACTTAATTTAGAAATGACATAATTAAGCAATTGAGAGAAAATTAATCAGGAACTATTTTTATTACTGCTTAACTGCAATGTAATGCAATACACTGACTGGTTTCAGGTTTTGATATGTGATGTGCTTTTTTTGTGTGTGAAAGTAAAGCAATGTGGAAAAGGATTCATTCAGGAGAGAAGTTAGACGTTACATTTTTATTTGAATCTAGTCAAATTCACAAGCTATCATCACAGTAAGAAAAAAAATCCAATTCCATTCTTTTTACTTCAGTTTTATTTGAATACATCACTCTGGCACACTTATCTGATATATCTGATTTATCACACTTACCATGTGACAACTAGTACATGCATATGTCTGACAGAAGGTCAAACAAATCTGCAGAAACCTTTTTGGTGGGTACAAACAAGTTTGAGTACATGTGAGAAGCACTGCTCCCACTATAAACACCATATTTACGTTTCCTACCACCTGCTAGACATGATCTGACATAAAACAAATTTAAATAGTGCTGTTTCCATGTCAGCCTGGTGTAAACTGTATATTTTCCCCCACAATGATGACACACCTTATGGCGGGAAAGTGCACAAATGAAATCAGTTAGGCTTGATATGCGTGTCATCATCTTGCATACTAAACTGATCATAAATGTACGTGGTGAGGATTACCTAAATTCTGCAAACAGGCAGAACACTGTTTCTGGTTTTTCTCCCCACTCCAGTGAGCTGACTACAAGGGAGCTCACTGAGGACCAGCTCATGTCTGATCTGCATTTCTACTGTATCATTACACTGCTATCATCTCACACCAACAGCTACCAGGGGAAATGCCACACTGAGGCCTGAAATGTGCGATGGGAAAACCCATCTCACAGTCTGCCATACATGGTGAAAACAGACAAGTGAAGCACAGTGAGGATTAACCACAGTTGTGTAATTTTACTATTAGCAATGAGTTAGACCAGAGCTCCTTGAACTTCTGTTAATACCCTCATGGCAGCTAAAAGGATTTTGATGCCTAATGGGACATTTCTAATCCTTAATCCCTTTAATGAATTATATTCAGTTTGTGAAGAAGAAAGAACGTCTTCCCATGTAGGAGAACTTTAATGTTACATCCTCTAATCTGCACGGACTGACTACATTGTAAATTCATGTCAAGGACCACAACTCATAAATAGGTTTTAACTTCAGGCAACATTCAACCTAAAGCCAAGAATAATTAGACGAGCACAAACCTAACACTGCATACTTTGACTTTTATGAGCTATTTTTAGGATCAATTTGGCACTTTCCAATAATCTGTGTTAAGTTAAAGGTCAGGTTAAAGTGGATGATCCATTTTAAGATGAACTTTCAGTTGGTCTTCAAAACCACAGCTGTACTTTATTCACTTCCCCTCATCTAAACTGTGCACCAGTCCTCAACTGGAATGTGTGAAGACACTTTTGTTTTGTTAGTTATTTTAGTGACATGTTCCCTCTTTGCTATGAATTGCAAATATGTTAACAAATCAGTCTTTGTGCTGTAATTTAACAGATTGAACAGATGTTACGTGTGAGAAGACATTACCAGTTAATTTTGTAGTCCGGTAGGGGTTAATCTAGATTAGTCTACGAAGCTCTGGTAGGGACCACTGCTTTGCAAGCGGGATCCCAGAAAGATTTTTAATACAGATTAATTTGCTTGATATATTCAATAAACTCCAGCAAGGGCTCCACCAGATGATTAGCTGGTGTTGAAAACTAGCCAAGGACCAGGCCCAAGCACTGGCACCAAGAGACACTGTTAATTGGCTAAAAAAAAATTGCTGCTCTAACATTTGGTAGCATGAATAGTTTAATTAAGGAAATCTTTTCACTAGTCAAATGCAAGAAGCAAAATATACTGAGGCAGATAAAGAGTAAAAGTCCATGTTAATTAGTATTTGTTATACTTGGTCTCCTTTGCAGTGTTAAAGAGCTATAAATTATTACAGTAAGTGTTTTACAATGTTGTCAGCGAGTGAGTCTGTCAATCTGACCAACTGACAAAAATACTCTGCAAGAAATTTGCTATTCTACAAACCTCATCAGTTTTTTTTTTTTTTTTTTTAGAATAAATACCCCAAATGTTCTTGTTTTAGCTTTTCTGACACAGGGACTTCCTGCTTTTCACTGTCACATGTGAAAGTAAACTGAATATCTCTGGTGAGACATAAAAGGCAAAGTGAACATGCCACTTACGACTTTCGTAAATTGTGATTTTCATTTTTGACAGAACCACTAATTGGGAAACAGCCAGATTACCAACAATGACCACAAATATCAGTCGCACCTCTTATCCAGTTGGTTTCATCTCAAGCTTCATCACTGTGGTCAAGGTCTTGCAATGCAGTGTTTGCAGAGCTTTACAGTACAAGTATCACAAGATGGAAACTAACTTAAAGATATTGCTTTCTGTGAACTGGACGACAAAGTATGCCATGTGGCAACAATTTGTAGGGATCAATGTGAGAATTTGAGGGCGTGACAGGGGCAGGGATCACAGTCAGGAAACAAAGACCTTGAAGCAGCCTGTGTTTAGATCCTGCATGGACTATCTGGCCTCATACTTTCATCCCTGTGCATCACTTGGTGGTGTGACAGACTGAGCTAGTTACATGTGGTGCTGCAGGGAAAAAAAACAAAACCCGTAGAGCATCATATTTCCACTTGCTGGGATTAACAGGATATCACTTTCACAGGACAGCGCAGGCTTCACTTCATGGTTGATATCACATCTGTCCTATTATTAAAACACAAAGCCTAACTGTGGAAAGCGTTCGGCGCTACTTTAAGGTCATTACTGACTCGGTGCCAAACAGAAGCACAAAGTAAAAACGACGATGAAGTTTTTCATCCAACAAGCAGCACTTAGGAGCCTGACACGTGTCTTGGAGGACACTGTCACTTACTGCAGAACAAAGTTTTCACTCTCACGCTAGCTCAAGTAAAGAGCTGAGTGGCGAGGAGAAGAGCTCACAAGTCATCCTCCCAGGACAGTCAGAACACAGCTGTTGCTAATTACCTGTTAACCTTGCAAACCCGCCGATTGTCTCCGGCAGTGGGAGCCTCTTGAGGTAGGCTGGCAGCTGGATTTTTATTATCCTTGAAATAGTCTCTAAAACCATCTTGAACTGCTCAGTGGGGCAGGTTTTGTGTTTGACTTGGATAGTTCCTGGGCTTCGTTTATGTCATTGCGTTCGCTTCTGAGCGCCGGTACGTAAACGCCTCCCGCGCAGCTTGAACACCAACGAAGAACAGCGTAAACGTTTCCGTGAATAGACGTAATGGAGACACGTGATGGCATGTTTGACCAATCAGCGCCGGAGGAGTTGGTGGCTCCTGATTGGACAGCTTGAATTTAGCGTGAGAAGGTGGTTTGTGCTGTTTCAGGTGCTCCTCGTAAAAGGTGTTTTTAAACAGACGTCAATAAAAATTTCAAGCAGCAGCACAATAATAAAAGCGTGTGCTTTTTGACAAACGAAGATCGTGACGCTGGGTGTTAATAAAATAAATATGGGCGCATGTTTGTGTTTTTAATAAAGTTTATACACAAAAAGAGACGCATAGGCTAATTTATGTGTGGCATTAAAAATCTACAGTGTTCTTAAATACTCCCCATCGTCTTAAGTCACGTGTTTGCGTTTTAATCATTGTTCCATTTTATCAGTGGTGGTTTCACGATTGTGGATTTTTTATTTTTATTTTTGACTGTTTTTTGTTCTGATAACTCCAGAATAACGAAATTTTGTAGGGTATTCAAAGGCAACACTGATGTTGATCAACCTGTTTAGCCTTTTAATGCAAATGTAAACAAACATGATCTCTTCTAAACTATTTTGCGCAACTAATCCTCATCATCAATCAAAGTGCTGTACATGTCATCAGACAGGCAGCCACCAAAACATGTGCAAAAAGAAGAGCAGGATAAAGATTTGTAAAATCAATTTGTAAAACAGGTAGCCAGTACAGGGAAGTTAGTATGGATGTAATTCTTTTAATTATTTTGGTACCAATTGTGAGTCTTACAATAGTTGCAGATGATACAGCGAGAACTGTCCAATACCTAGGTACAGAAAGTTACAATATCTAGCTTTGAGGAAAATAACATGGTGGTCACAGTCTGCATTTCATTCCACAGCTTGTCATTCATGGCCATGCGATCGCAAAGTGGTAATACATCAGCTGGTGTCCATTATAGAACCAATAATATAATACCCCCATGGGCTCTGAGGCCTGAGAACCAGGGTTCATAGAACAGTTGCACACCGCTGTAAGGATAAAGCCAGAAACATGATTAGACATGTGCAGTGCAGTGTTGAGAGTGGTATTACCCAACATAATAAACATTTTTGATGCTCCACAAAGAATACCCGACAGACAAAAGCTTTGTGAGCTAAAATGGCTTCAGGTTATTTTTGTAAAGTTACACCATTGTTTTAATTTACACTTAGAGACATAAAATTCCTGTATTTATGAAGTTCGTCTTCATTTGCCATATGGCCATAGCCTTCTGATTATGTAACAATAAAAAAAAGTATCTTTGCTATCAACAAGCAGGATGCCTGGAGCAAATAAAAGGAAACACTATCTACCCTCCAACAACAGGGAGAAATAGCACGTGAATGCAGGCGATGAGCCGGGATAGAAAACCAGCGAAACACATGAAACAAACTAAGAACTCAAGAGTGATAATTTTTTGAAGAATTTCTTAGAACAGACATTGACAACTAAATATATTTTATTGAAATGTCTGAATGGAACCTAAAAAAAAAATCATTTTCAAATTATTCTTTCCAAACCCGAGAAAATAATTCCAATTAATCCTCGTTTTTATTTTTTGCTAAGCCTAGTCAAGGCCATATTTACTGAAATTATCCATGTGAGCGATGCGCCCTCTAGTGCCGACACAGGTTCCTTTTCTTTACGCTGTAAAGAACTTCATTACCCAAAGTTCAATGTGAATTTAAGCGTCTTACTGCCTGGATTTTTTTTCACATCTGTGTCTTTCTAATGTCTACCTTATTCACACCTTACAAAAAAGACACGAGTGGTAAATTATGAATAAATATGTAATACTTGGAATTCAGTTTGAAACAAGAAAATGTTTTACGCTAATTAAATGTATTCCAGATTCAGCAGGGATATATGCAGCCAACTAAATTCCGGGAGTGAGGTCCTCAGCCTCCAGTGTCATTGGTGAATGACCGAAGATGTCTCACAGCAGGTTGTTTGCCAGGCTGCTTTGTAAGTATTTTAGCAGATTACAGTATTGATTACTTAAAATGTTTGACAGTTTAGCTTCTGTAACCCAAGAATACTCAGTGGCTCTATGCCGTACAGTTGTTGAGCTTTTCAGATCTTGCACTGACAACCAACCTCCCCCTGGGTTGGCTGTCAGTTAGCTTACATGCTAGTTAGCCATATTAGCTTGACAACCTTTGCTGTACGCTGGTAGAGCTTACTTGCACTTAGCCAGTAAGCTAAGTACCTAGCTTTAAGCTAACGTGCAAGTGAAATCTAACTTTAACCCCCTACCAGATAGCTGAGAGGGCAAGTTTTCATCTTCGACCTTGCATGCCCTCTCGGCTAAAATGTAGCGCGTCCGTTCGCTCTGGGGAAACTAGTTTGTCATAGTAGCCTATGTTTAGTTTTCACAAAGCGGTGATTGAAAGCAGCTAAATTAGCTGTTCTGGCACATTGTTTTTAGGCTGCGTGATCACAGCTCCATGCATTATAAAGTTTGACATTTAGGTTTGCTTGGGAGGATGTCTTTGCAAGAGTATAGTTTGGTTCTAACTATAAATAGCATTAATTCAGTAACTGTCAGTTTGTTAAGACATTCAGCTTAGGGGGCAGCTGAACTTTGCACGGTGTGATAAGTTGTTTTTGGAGTGAGACACTGAATGCAGATCAAAGTTCAGCCATCCAGGGTAATGTCCAGTATTGTGTTTGCTCCTGGTCTGTCTTAGCCTACTTATACACTTCTGTCCTGACTGACAAAATGCTAAATGACAACATGTTTAAGTCCTCTGAATTTTTTTATTTTTTTATTTTTATTAATGAATTTATTTTTTTATCCTAAAGATAAACAGAGAGTTTTGTTTTGATTTATGGAGATCACAGTGTCACCTGTTCAGACAGCAGCATCTGAATGAATGATACCACCCCCCCACCCTTTTTTTATTTAGATTTTTTTTTAAACAATTAGCTAAAGCGATTAATACATTATGATAGTTTGGTTGATGTATTTTTTCCTGGTTCAAAACCAAATTGGTTCAACATTAAAGTCATTCCATTTATGAAGTTATTCTAATAGTTGTTGTGGAATTCTTGTAGAGGTTGACGGAGGATGTGGAACTCAGTTTACTGAATACAGGAGAAGTGACGTTAACAGAGCAGCAGTTGTGAGGATTTCTGTCACACCTTCGGTCTTATATCGTCCTTTGGTGGGACCCATCTCGAGGTTTATGGATGAGAGGCAAACAAAATATAGTCTGGTGCCTTGGTGCAATCTGGCTTTGAGAGGCATAGAGAGTGCCTTAGGAATAGTAGAGTACAAGTTCAGTTTCACCTTCAGAGACCTAACTCCTGAGAGGAAAGTCATTTTTCCTTCACAATAGTAATTAAAGCCATTTGTTTAACCAGTAACTAAGTCTGTCCCATAGTCCTGTTGTGAATGGTGCAGCATGTTGCCAGTTTGACCTGTAAGGCAAGATTATGTAACTTCTACGGTCTGTATCATGTCAGTCTCACAGTAAACATAAACTTGATAGTCTCCTCAGTTGCATCGTGATATGAATATGTCTGCTGCACACTATGTCTAAGCCTGGTATTTGACAACAGCTGTCTGTAGCTGCTGGAAACAGCGCTGATAAGAGCTGTGACACTAAACTTGAACCACACAATGAATGTGTGAGCTGCTGAACACGCTGATAATATACTTTTTTGAAATTATATTACATCACTTCAGTATAATTGGACGTGTTATGTTCTTTATGTCACATTCCCTTCAATAGTTGACATAGTAACAGCTTTATAGCACAAGCAACCATAATTAGTCAAACATATTCATATATATTTTAGGAATCCGTGAGGTAAAGGTTGACTGTAAAGTCTGAAGAAAAACTAAAATTGTTGCTCAGCAACAGTAAAAGATAGTTGCAGAAGCAAAGAGATTGTTGCCAAAACACCACAGTTGAGAGGACAGGTTCTTTAAACCATAATGAATAGAGTAATCTTATTTCAACTTTTATCTATTCACTATAAAAAAAAAAAACTTCTAAAAATAAATAAATAAATAAGGAGAGAAGCTACATTTTGTTCCTTTTTTGAACAACAGCCAATCATTGTTTATTTAAATGCCTTACTTAATGCTAAAAAAAATGTTTTCTATTCTTGTATCATGTTTTGATGCTTTATATTGAGCTATATGTGAACACCTGAACACTTTCTATGTTGCCTCTTTTCTCTCTCTCTGCATTCAGTGCAGCAGAGTGGAGTCAGGCACTGTTATACAGCGTCAAGGCAGCACCTCTACATCACCAAGAACACCAAGGTCATCTGCCAAGGTTTCACAGGGAAGCAGGTTTGTACTCAAAACTTGTTTTTATGATTTCTTCACAACTGTCTGCATTACTGTAACCTTGTGAAATCTCAGTCTTTCCTTTCTTCACGCACAATTCCTCTTTTTGTGTGTGTCAATGCTTTCTGTATGACTAAGATTACCAGAGAGGAGAGATTCTAAAAGTTAATTATTTCCATTAATAGTTACAATCTCCCTATTGGTTTCTAACTGTGTACTTGAGCCGGACATGTTCAAGTTAAGTAAATAGAGGTAACCGTATTCATACACCCTAAAATGACTAATTTGCTTCTGTAGAACCTCAGTTAAGATAAGGAAAAACTCTTTAGTTTCCTCAGGAAGAGCAAGTTATTACCCTGTATTATTTCTACAGGACTCCCTCACAACTGCAACAGATTTATTTTTTTTGTCCCTTCTTTCAATGAAGGCAGTCGAAGCATTAGAAGAATTACAATACTGAGAAACATAATTGCACAACCAAAAAAAAAATTATTGAGAGATTTCAAGAATTAAATTTATATCTTTGTATAAAGTGTTTCAGGCAAAGTATAAAAATGACCAGACTGGAGCCCTAATTCTTTTTGAAATATGTTGCTATTATTCATGATATGTGTAAATGCTGAAATTTGTCCTTGAGACACTTAATACTGCTGTAATCTTTTGCTGTTGATGTAGGGAAAGTGTTGCCAGAGTAATTTCAGTTTCAAACACTTGTAAATCATTTTTTTTTTATAGCAGGTATTTTGAAGTGAAAATTACATTCACTTTGTCTTCATTTATTTCCCAGTTAATGCACTTGGTCGTTGTCTCAGTCAATAATAACAACTCTGTATGGCACATTGTTGATCCACTGAGTTATTTTTCCAGCACCAAAAAAAGATCAGGTGATTGTCTTTGAACCATGTCCAGACAAGGAGGATAAAAATCTTGGCAAGTGTGTTCAACAAGCCAGAAATGTGGACTTTACAGATTTATATCCCCCTCTGTCCCTATGCACATTCCATTTTTTATCTTCCATTTTCTCTTCAACATAATAAAAGGTTGTTAAATATAGTTCCAGTGAACACTCCGGGTAATTAGAAAAGGATGAGAAATGAAGCAAGTGCTATTGAGTGCACATTGTCGTGTCTTCCTGGCTTGATAAGCAAGCCATTTTTCAAAATTATTGTCCCAACATTTGCGATAATAATGACTGGCAAAAACAGCAAAGTTAGCAGGGTGAAGGAGTATATTACAAATGAGGGGGAAAAAATGCTGATTCATAGCTTCTAATTCCTCTTAATAGGCTAGTTATAATTTTTACATTAAAGTCATTTATTTGCACTTGTAGTTACAATCCTTCCTGCTTAATATACATAGTTCCATCCTCTTCAGCGATATTAACCGACGACTGACTGATACAATTTGTTCAGCAGAAGATCCGTTCGGACCGACCTGCTGCACTCATCTTCTGGGAGAGTACAACTGAGATCCAAGATTTTATCTTGCAAAATAAATTCTCCTTCCCTTAGTGTTATTACTGCTTTATCTTATTTATTTTCTTTTCAAATGATGCTGATACTTGTAGGAACAGCAAAGACATAATAGTTGACTAAGATAACAAACATCCTTGGATTCGCCTACAAGTGTTAACCTCCTTATGCACAGTTGCACCCTTTTTCCCTTCAGTAGCTTTAAGGCTGGAAAAACAAATGTTTTTTCTACTCCCATTTGATGAAAGGTCTGTCACACTTTATGTACATATATATTATATATCAGCTTGTTTCATCCCTGAGGCAATATGTTGTTTACACTGTAAAATATTAAGTCTACAACCATTTGTTGAACTTGTATTTTGAGGTCATTAACAAAACTTAAAGCTCAGTGTGGGGTCAGTGTTTTGTGTGACTCCGTCCTTCTTTCAAATTATGTTTCAAACATTGTAGAAATGTATCTTTTTGTAGACATCTCTTACCATGGCTGGTGTATTTGGTGTTGGGGTTTAAACAAAGTTTGACTCTACAGCATAACTTTGCTCTCATTTACTCACAGAAGAGGTTGTGGGATTAAGAGAATTAACTGTACAATCCACAGTGAGTCCTGATATAGACGACACTGACGCATCGGTCAGGCCAGTGTAAGCTTATTGCAGCTGTATCAGAGTCTGTGTTAATATCAGATAAATAGAAACAGAGCTGCCAAACTATGCCAGAGGTGACTGTAAACTTACTTTGGTCACATTTCTTTAAAACAACATATGAACCAAAACATCAGCATAAAAGTCCGGCGCTGATGTGTTATGGTGTGTTAGGTCGGTGAAGAAGAGTCTTTGTTCAGTAGTGTATAAAGAAAAAAGTGAAATTATTGCATACACCCACTAAATGTGTGTCAGAAATGATAATAAAAAAACAGCAACATGTTGTGTTTGTGCTTGCAGATAAAATATTAGGCCATTATAATATGTACATGTTTTTGTCTTTTAAGACGAAGCAATGTTTAACCAAACACCTGAAACAAAATTTAAAACATGTAAAATTATGTAAAAACGGATGTGCTTCTAGAAGCTGGTTTAAAGCAAGTGAAGTGAATAAAATGCTCCAGACTGTGTCGAGGCGGCCGTGGCACGTTGTCTGTTGCCTACGTGGAAGCGACAGTATGTGAAATATTTTTTGTAAACTCACTTTCTTAGGCGATATTTTACAGTGGGAGCTGGAGAATATCCAAAGCGGGTTTTGATTTGTTTTTCAAATGTTCAGCAAGGAGATTAAACTAAGCTCTCACCATTATTTATTTGTCAAGAACATTTCGATTCCTTCGCGTTGAATATATTTACCGGTAGCTTCATCCCGCTGCTAGAATCCAAGCCTCACTTCTGTATCCATGCTTTTACTCAGCAGCGCAGGTGATTAATACTCCAGAGCAGCATATTTTCTCCTTCCTCTCTGTCTACAATGATATCTCAGTGTTGACGCTTTTAAAGTGGCTGTACCCTGCTTCATTACACACCCATGCACACTCTTTTTTTTTTTCTCCTCCATTGTAGGGAACGTTTCACAGTCAGCAGTCTCTTGACTATGGCTCCCAGTTAGTTGGAGGTGTTTCCCCTGGCAAGGGTGGTAAGACGCACCTTGGTCTGCCAGTCTTCAACTCGGTCAAGGAGGTATGTGGTTAAAATCTGTTGTATAGTTGGAAAAACAATAACTAGAATCCCATCAGAGTTGCAGCGAACATCCTGTGAAGGACGGTGAAGCTTTAGAAATTTTTTTATTTTTTTTTTGTAAAGAAACATTAGGTGGCACTATTTCATAACTTTAGAATTTTCGTTTTTAATGCACCACCAATACCTTTTCATTCCTCGCCGCAGGCAAAGCAGGGCACAGGGGCAGATGCCACTGTGATTTATGTACCTCCTCCATTCGCGGCAGCAGCCATCATAGAGGCCATTGACGCAGAGATACCCCTGGTGGTGTGCATCACTGAGGGCATCCCCCAGCAGGACATGGTGCGAGTCAAACATAAGCTCCTGCGCCAGAACACCACCCGCCTCATAGGCCCCAACTGCCCAGGAGTCATCAATGTAAGCGCGCACACACACACACACACACACACACACATACACACACACAATGACGCATCTGGTATTATTATTTTATTTTTTTTCTTTTTGGTCATGGCTGAGAGGCTTGAAATTCCTTCTCATGAGTCCACAAGCAAATGAGATTTGACACATTAATATTCTGCATAGTAACAATAAAACCTTAAAGGTACATGGTTTGCTTACATTTTCTTTTATTTCTGTGTGTTTTAGCAGCATTCATAATGTTTGTTAGTGAGGTACAATAACAGGTTTTCTGGATTGTAAGGTATAGCAACATTTACATATTGAGATAGAAAAAAAAAATCAGAAATGATCCTTACTTGTGGGCATTTGTGCAGTAGAAGGTGTTGATGATACAAATAATAAAAACAGAGAAATGTTTAATTCAGATAAGAAAGAAGTTATACAGGAGACTGTTTGAAGTTGGACAAGTCATGAAACATTTATAGTGATTGTAGAGTGTAATAAACACCATTTTGTGCATGTATGTAGCTTAAATGTACTTTATTTTCTATTAAAAACTACAACTTATCTCTTTCCAGCCTGGAGAATGCAAGATTGGCATCATGCCAGGCCACATTCACAAGAAAGGAAGAATTGGTGAGACTATCGAATGTATCTATGAAATTTGTGAAATCACAGATTTAAAGTGTCGAATAGGATGATTACACATTTAGTTTATAAGAATACGGGCAGCTTTAAAATGCTGAAGTAGTTAAGAATGTTGTCTGTATGTGTCTATTCACCGACTCACTCAGATTTCTCCTACAGCAGTCTTTCACTGGTTGACGTGTGATGGAATAGGAAAAAAAAATCCTACTAATACCTTTTCTTCATAAATCCAACTTTTTTACAGCACTGTACTTAAATTATAAATGGAGCTTCTGCTGTTGACAGATTGATAAGCAGCATGTGCCGCTGCTGGCCAGTGAACCTTCACAGGAAGTCTGTTTTATAGTAAATCGACTGCCATCATCACCAAAGCACAGACAGAACAGCTGTTACAGAGCTCTGTTATGATAAGGATCTATTTTGTTTTTCACTATCATGATGAAACGATTCAGTCAAAATCCGACGGAAAGTAACAGCTGCATTTTGTCACCTTTGACATAAATGTTTTGATGGGTTTTTATTTTAATTTTTTGAAAATACAGCATCTTAAATGGTTTGTAACATCTTTCTTTCAGGCATCGTTTCTAGATCGGGTACCCTGACATACGAAGCTGTGCACCAAACTACACAAGTAGGCCTGGGACAGTCACTCTGTGTTGGTAAGCAACCACTGACATGTGGCATTTTAAAGTTAAACTTTGCATAAAGTCACACACTATTTTTATTTTTTTTTATATCCAGGCAGTAGTAAAAAAAAACAAAAAACGTCTACCTTGGCCTTAGAGATCCTGATGAAGTGTATGGCTTCATGCACTGCTGGATGTAGATGCGGAATTTTATACATTTGATTTGAGTACAAGATGGTCACTTATGACCAAGCACTCAACATCACATACCTATATTTAATTTGAGGCTTGCGGTAAATGTTGGCAAGACCTCAGATGTGAGTGATGGGATGTTAGACTTTCATCTTTAATAATTACTCTAGAGATGGAGGGGGGAAAAAAAAGCATCTTACCGGACTTACTGGGAATAGGAAGGTGATCTACCAAGTTCACCTTGCGCTAAAACTCATCAAATGCAAATAGCGCAGACATTTTGTATTAAAAAGGCACTTGCCAACTTTCTGATCAGTGCTTAGAATATTCCTCTCAGATCCGAACATTAAAGTTGCTGCCGTCTTTGAAGAGCCCTATTGAAGTTGAATAGACCTATTGAGTGGCTCAGATGGAAGTAGAACCTTGCCTTCCTATTTTCAAACGTCTTTTCCCCAAAAAATATAAAGGATGGTGAGCGTGTTTTTTTTTTTTTTGGTTGCTTGTTTTTAATCTTTGATCCATGACCAAAAAATAAATAAATTCTGAAGCACAAACCAGATTATCTGAATTATGTTTTAAACAGGAATAAATGACAGTAAAGTGCCTAATAAATGTTTTTCTGTTGTCCCTCTGTTTGTTTTTTTCTGATGCAGCTTGTTTAAACCATCATATTCACATAGATTGAAGAATAGAGCCCATTTCGGCAGTACACATGTGGAACTTTTCCATTATCTACCCATCTGTCCATTACCCCACTTTTTCCTTCCTGCACCTTCTTACAGCCACATATTTGTAATTTATAGATTTCTACTGTGGATTAGCAACACATGCAGCTTTACAGCACAACCTGAAGCTGAGACATTATTGGGAACCACCTTTCTTGCTGTTGCTTCACTTTATTAACTTGGCATATTGGTTCATCGATCCCTATTGTCATTCTCAGTAAAATGACGACCGTGTCTGGTTTCTGGATGCCACTGTGAATATCAGCTGAATCTGTTTAAATGTTGTCAGAACATCTAGACGCTGTGTAGTGACACCATGATGGCCAACTCTGTTTAATCTTGGCAACACATCAGTATTAAAACAAATCAGTATTAAAACAAATTCTTTTAGCCAACTTATCTGCCACTAGAAAATCTATATTAAAGACCTGCTTGGACACCAGCATTAAATGAAAAACAACTTGGCTTCATTATTATTTAGGCATTTTAATTATGGAGTATCTTATAGCCAGACTTCATAAAGCCAGTGCAGCAACAGCATTAAATATTGTAGAGTTCATTAAGGGGGTTTATTGGTGGGTCTGCTAGCGACTTCTTAAGTTTGAGTATGACCTAGGGGCTACAGCAAATTACAGTTAATACAATATTTAATATCACTGTCATCTTTGTTGCTGCTAATGTGCTTCTGTTTGATTATTATTCATGCATTTTTTTTTCTTGGTGTTGCCAGGTTTTTTAATGGTATGAATATAAATTTAGATGACATTTTGTCTGTGAACATTTGTCTTGTGGAGGTTTGCCCATGCTTTTATAGATCCTGGTGGAAATTATTCTTGAAAATTATTATTGCACCCTCGTGGTTTGCTAAAGCTCATGTTCCTTGGATATGAAAAGAAAGGCATCATTAAACTACCATGCAGAGATAGAGGTGGTCCGGGACAATTGAAGTAAAATTGAAAAATGGTGTTCCTATAAACCTCAGTCCAGTTTAACTTCATTCCTGACAAAAATTTAGAATGAGTCCGCCGGGGTGACCGAGTGGTTGGGGTGGGCACCGCTTTGGCACAAAGGCCCTCAGCAGTGAGTCCCCGGGTCGATTCACAGCCGACCGGACCTTTGCTCTGTCAGTTCCTTGCTCTCTTTCCTTACATTTCCTGTCTCTACCCATTGTCAATATCTTAAGCCTTTTTTGACATCCACTCTTTTTTTGTATTAATCTGACAGCATCTAAACGTGTCAGCTTTATGTCTGAATGAGCACTCTGGTCACTTTTCTGTAAAAGTTGCAGCAGCAAACTTACAATGTTGGACCAATAACATTTCTAGATTCCTTTCAACGCTGGCTCAATAACGAACAGGCACGATAGCAACATACATTGTGGAAAGCGATTTTGGGAATGCTTTTTCCTTATTTTAGCATCAATACTGTTCCAGAAACATTGCAGATGGTGCTAAAGACACAGTTTGTGTACCAAAATTCACAGAACACCTTTCTCATTCTCTTACACCTGACATCCATTGCTAATTCAAGTTACCATTAAAAATGCAACTTTAATGCGATAAAGGCAGAGTCTCCTTTCAGATTAATGAGACTCGTTGACAACAGCTGTTTGTAGGAATCTTTCCAATGAGTTTATTTAGTACCTGCAGCATCATACAACACCAGGATCCACGAGTGTTTCCAACACAAGAGAACTGTACATAAGCAGTGCCGTTGTTGCTCATAATTAAAAATCATCTCAGACATATAGATATAATTGTTCAGGATCTAACAGCTGTACATTTCTTCACATCAGACAGTTAAACTCTGATACAGAGTCAGTTTATAAAGTGAAATTACATGTTACATAGTAGCAACAGATTGTCAGTATGTAAGACATCATAGATATACTAAGATAATGGTATTAGCTTAATAACTTGCTATTAGTTTAATCTTTTGTTTATTTATTGCATTTTTAATTAATCATGATAAATCAGTTTACGTACTGTCCAGTCATGCATGTTTGATAAAATATCATGTGCTCTTTCATGACTGTGGTGGCTATGTTGAAATGAGGCCATAAAGAACTTTAATGTAGAAGTGACCCACGTCTTAATGACAGAATGCCCTGACTTTACCAGGCTGACAAATCTAGCAGTGTTACTTATCCTATGTCTGAACGAGGCTTAGTAGAGGCAAAAATGCCAAGAAATAATAATGCAAAAAATGTGCTCTGTAGTTTCCCTTGGCTCTGTGGAGCTTTTCAGTGTCACCCAGCTCATTGTTTTAGTTTGCTGTCACTGCTCTCATTGAGTTGTTTCCACATACAGCAGGCAGCTGTGACACAATGAAATAGCTTTGATAAACCCACTGTGAGCTACCCACTCAGCACCAAATGGCAGACCAACAATGTTGGTGACTAGCTAATGATTGTGGCATTGCTTTTAGCAGCTAAATAGCCAAACATTTTTGTAAGGAGTTAGTGAAGACCAAAAACAGGCTTAGAAGGAGAGAAATTGCTAGACGTTGGTTTGGCAGATGACTAGAAACACGATTCCAGATATGTAAATGTGACTGTTTGCTAACAAGCTTGCCATACTTTCAGCAAACTGTAAGTGGGTCTGAAGCCACTGGATGCATGTTGCTGATTTCTATTTATCACGATGCTGCTCAGTGAAAGAGATATGAAGTTTATCTGTAAAGGGGAGCAAAAGCTGACGCATAGTAAGTGCAAAAAACTCTGAAGTCAGTCACACCTAATGCATTCATGTTACACAATTCAGGCAGTGTGTCTCAGGGCTAATTGTCAGATCATATAGGCAAGAAGATTGCTTCCCATTTGACTCTCACGCTGAACAGCTATGGGATCCTCAATACAGGAATTATCCTTTGAGAGTCTTGAATATACAACACGTGTTTGCTTTGTCTCCTGCAAGGTATTGGTGGGGATCCATTTAACGGCACGAACTTCATAGACTGTCTGGAGGTGTTCCTGCAGGATCCCAAGACGGAGGGCATCATCCTGATTGGAGAAATCGGGGGGAATGCGGAGGAGAATGCAGCAGAGTACCTGAAAGAGCACAACTCTGTAAGGAAATAAAACACCGGACACCCATTATTTTCTTTTACTCACTCCACATATAATATCCCCTCCTAAAGCACTTTACCTCAGCAGATATATCTGTTCATATTAAAAAAGTATCCTTTCTGAATTAGCTTTCAGTTATGACCTCTCAAATCTGTCAGCTCCAGCGAACACTAAAAACCATCATGCGCCCAGTACAAGGTGAAGATATGAACGTGTCCTTTTCTTTTCGATTGCAGCCTCAGGCTTTCTGTCTTACTTTTCTGTGTTCGTGTGATTTGTGTGATCAAGATAAAGAGCGACAGATGGGATGAAGGTATGATTCACAGGACGTGTTCTAGAAATCGGCAGTGTTGATGAACAGTGAACCTTTTGTGATGCCCACAATGTGATAAAGAGCAGGAGCGTGATGATTGGCTTCTGTAGCCAAGTGGCTGAGAACTTGTCGTTGACATTTTTAACTTCAGAAGGACCGAACTTGGTGTTTTGCTTCTTGCGGATTACTTTTAGGACGTTAATTTTTCCAGTGTGTATATTTGTTTCTGTGTATGTGTGTGTGCTTACGGTGCTCTCGAGCTGAGAAATGGATTTGATTTGCCCTCGGCTGCTCTAATGCATGCAAATCTCCTGCGGGCGTCTCAGGAGAATAAGTTCTCTCACTCAACAAATAAAGTACAAACACCCCCCACCCAATCATCCAGAGTGTTGACAGCGAGGGACAGTTCAAATGAAACACATGCATGAAAAAGCCTAGCAGAGCGTGGGAGTAAGCTGCAGATCTCCTGTTGAAAGTCAATTGTGTAGAACATCGTACATAAAATGGTGTTCTTAGACCTTGTTTTTAACAGTAAAGAGCAGCACAAAGATGTCTGGGGACACTGCTTCATAGAGCTGCACATGACTCAGAATTTTGTCAGTCAAATTGGATTTGAATCTGGCGATCAGAAAATCAGTTGGCATTGGCTTCACTGATGATTTAGACCACATTAACATAGTCAAATGCAACAGAGCCATATTAACATATTTTTGGGTATTTAAAAATCAAGACAACTGCTTGTGATGCCAGGTTTGAATTGCAGCCTGTCTAAATTGGAGACATTTGTTGGTCTACCACATAGATTTATCAAAGAAAAAAAACAACAAAAAAAACACTTTCAACATCAAAACAAGAAAATCAGTTATTTTAAGAAAATGAAACAATTTCTAATAAATTCACTGATTTGCTCCTGATCAAATAACTGACATGACCTCACTTGTTTCAAGTGATTTTCCTTGTTAGATATTGTTGAATGGTGATTTATTTATTGCATTCAGAGTTTGTCTTTAACTTTGTTAGGGATGTGTCCAAGATGTTGTCACACTCTCTACTTCTGTGGTTAGTGTGGTTTACCAACCGCTTCACCTTGGTGTCAGCCTCTCTCATCTGTAAACCACCAGCACATAGTGACATCTGGATTTATTTATTTGTTTTGCCCTCAAGCCAGGTAGCCATGCTGCGAAATGACAATATGTTTAGAGTTCTGCTCATTTAGTATTCCTCACTGAAATGTTGTCCCTGTGCATTTTTGTAAGCTTTTGTCTTTTTCGTCCTGTTATTTAAAAAGAACCTCGCAAATGACTGAGGGGTCCTTGACAGATGATACGACTCATTAACTTGCAGGGCAGCCCTGTTGTTTTTACTTTGAGTCAAACTTATCTTTTCTTGATTTGAATACATTCCAATTCAAGCCACTTAGACTTTTATTATGTATTAAGTATTTAACACATTAGTGACACAGTAGGCAATTCTAATTCAATATGCTTTTTGTCAAAGGCAGTGAATATCTACCTCCCAATCTGCTTGCTGTCCATTCTAAAAAAATCTAGTGTCCATTCACAGCTTTGGCTCTGTAAATGGGAAACAATCAAAGCGACTCGACTCGATCCGTGCAACACTGTGTCCTGTACACCTTCGTGCTTGTGCACAGGACAGGGGGAAGGGAGTGAGAGGGACTGTAAATCTGAATACGCTAACTGGCTAAATATCAACAATGTTCCTCCAGAAATGCAGACACCAGCTTTAAAAGTCTGCTAATTTGCTTCATCAGCACTGCATAGATGTGGTTTGATTAAATTTGATCAACAGTGGCAGCATGAGCAGGCAGCCCACCACCTAGCTGGTTAGGAACCTCAGATCTCACTTCTCTGATTGGATACATGATTTATCAGTGGGCCTGGTTTAGTGCCTATTTACAGCTATTATTATCTCTTGGAGGAATAACTGACCAATCAGAACCCAGCTATGAAGAATAATGACAGAAAAATGTTCTTGAAAATGGCAACATGCGTGAGATCATCGCAGCAATCAGCATCTTTTTTTTCCTTTAATCTTTGTAAAATGCAGCCACTTGCTACAGCTTCCACATCTCCTGGAAACAGATCTGCCACTCGCTGCTCACTGTTGAGGATAAAATTGAGCAAAGTAACAGATTTTGTTTGAAATATTGATATTTGTGATGTTATTGAACTGGTATTGCTGTCTGAGGTGTGTCAGAAAAGTTCAAGGATCGGTGTCAGAAAAGATATATTTCAAATCCAAACTACAAACTACCAGTTCTCCCCTTCAAAGTAATCCCCCTGGAGTCTAACACACTTTCCCGGCCTTCTCTGCCACGCCACCATGCACTCCTGGAAGGATTCTTCCTGATCCTCTGCAGCTCCGTCGTCACAGCCATCTTGATGTTGTCCATGTCCTCAAAACGGGTCGCCTTGATGACCCCCTTGAGCTTGGGGAAGAGGGAAAAAATCCCATGGAGCCAGGTGGGGTGAGTAGGGAGGCTGCACGGCAATGATCTTCTCAGCCAGGACCTGTTGGATGCTCAGAGCATTGTGAGCAGGTGCGTTGTCATGGTGAAGCAGCCACGACTTGTCCTGCCACAGCTCTCGCCTTTTCTTGTGCACTGAACGAAGCAAACGCTGCAGGGTCTCTTTGTAGACGTGCTGGTTGATCGTCTGAAGGGGAAAACACGTAGATAGAGTTTGAAATATATCTTTTGTGACACCAGTCCGGGAACTTTTCTGACGCACCTCATATACACACTGGTTCATTTGTCCACCACAGTTGTGTTAATTAAAAACAGAAAAGCTCTCTGCATAACGCAGTACAGTTCAACAGCAGCACAGACATTATCCTCCAAATGGTCATACAGTTCATTCAGCACCTCTCAAAGTGTTTCACCTGTGCATTATAACTTTGTGTAAACATGAGTCATTGCAGGACTTTGCAAATCACTATATTTGACCTCACCTTTTTCCAGCTGAGCCCTGCACTTCAAATCAGTGAAAAGAACACAGCCACTCCAGCGAAGACTAAAATGTTGTATGTGAAACAAGCAACACTCTACGTTCTAAATGTAACTAGGGACACGTTGTTCAAAATACAAGAGATTAGTTGAGAAAATATTCTTTAAGATGCTGTATTTCGCATTTACTTGACAAATGATGGCACACTTGACACAAAACGCATCGAATGCTCAGTGAAATTAAAGGTCGGGTGTCGTGATTGATTTGTGCCATGCAACATTAAATATATTGAACCTGTAATTGAGAAAGACACATTATACCAAAAGGATTAGGAAGTATTGATTTCAGTTTTCGTCAGTTGTTACAGTCCAGTTACTTCCCGCTGTTTATCTACGGCAACTTAATTCTGTAAAATTCAAGAAAACAACCTCATACTTCCACTAGGTTCTGCTGTCAGATTTTATGATGCAGAGCATGTTTCAACGTTCAGTCTTCATCAGTGGGGATGCTTGCTGTTGCCAACATGATATGGTTTTAAAATGTCACCTGTATCAAACTCTGTCAGAGTCTCAAAGGCTTTGTGAAGTCAGAAATAAGTTTTAAAAAGTATAACTATATTTGGCTCATGCATATCAACTAGGTTGGCATATTTGGCACCTAAGCTGCCGCAGAGATTTAATGATTTTCTTTTTGTGTGTTTCCATTTCAGCCTCTTGACTTTTAGCCCAGCCTGTCTCCACTGACCTTAACTAAACCCCTTGTAATTCCGAGGAAACAACACTGAAAATTAAGGCAGGTCTGGAGGAAGTCTGAGGTTAGAAAAGTGTTGTTGTGCGTTAACACACACACACACATACGCGTCAATTACTCGTGCCGCCCCTTATCATGTTTATAAGGATGTTAATTGTCTCAATTAGACTTTTTAAGCCTACGAATACAATTCCTCACTTTGGATCAGGCTATTTGTGTTTAAAGAACAAGCTCTCCTCCAGTCATGTTGGCACACAGAAGGGGGAACTACCTTATTGGTCTCATAATTAAGGTAATAAATCTCCACCGCTAACAGTGGAAGACAAAAGATGGGTAATGCGAATAGTAGTATGACTCCTTTCCTTGTATGAATTGTTACTTGGAGCCCAGGGAGGCAGGGATTAATAGAGTAATTAAACCCTTTTCGTTTGAGGTAGATTTAAGACTTGATTCACATGAGGGTGGTTTGTTTATTCAGGACGTGATCTGACTTATGAATGCCGAGTGGGACGCTTCTGCTAATTTAGTTTACGCTTGCATTTTTTAACGCATAGAACAGACGCTTGTAACATATTTAGAACACTTTAAAGTGATATTTGCTCTCTTTCGTTATTTCCCTGTGAACTGTGCAAGTATTAATGTCTCATTAGTGCTGCGTTTTGAGCCAAGGTCCTCAACGTTTCCCTGGCAGATATACGTCCTGCTAGTCTTAATTATCAAAAGTCACTTCCAGTTTATATTTGTGGCTGCCATCTTGTTCCTGCCAGTGTCAGGTTTGAAATTTGGAACTGAAATGGTCGTAGAAGTGGGTGTCTTTGAAGGACCTCACTGTATTGCTTTGGCTGTTAAACATGCCACATTCACTCTCTGGAAGCAGTCTGCCAGATGAGCCACAGCCTGCATTGAAAGCCCAACACTAACTGTGTGTGCGTACGCACAAAGCCGTCCTCTGCAATTATGTTGTTATTCCTAAGTATGAAATATTAGCTCCTGTACGTGCGCACATACACACATGCATACATACACACAGACTGTCGCTCTTGCTGGTTATGATGTTATTGCTGAAGATGAAATATTAGCTCTCTTCACCTTGGAAATGATCTTAATTGTTGAATGTAACATCCATCAATGAGCAAGCAGCATAGACAGGCGCTGAGCTAATCAGTGCCTGCATGACTAATTACCATTTCAGAAATGAGATGATATGAAATGGCAGGAGCCTGAGCCCCTATCTGGTCATACACCAGCCCATGCAATTAAATGACTTGATTGACCCTTTGTTTTAATAATGCAGGCTGAGACAGAGATGGCTGGTTAGACAAGCCTGTTGCCATGGGACTCTGTAATGTGAGGACATGCAGTGTTTAAATTCTAATGAACAGATAAAATGCAGGTGCAGAAAACTAATTCTCCCTATTTTTGTACATCCCCCTCCCCTCCTTGTTTTCCTGCCTTCCTTCCTACTTTGTTGTTCACACTACTCCTGGCGCTTACTCGATTTTTCCCGTCCATCTTCACTGCATTTTATGCTCATGTTTTCTTTTGGTTTTTTTTTTTTCTGTCCTTTCCCATTGTCCAGGGTGCTAATGCGAAGCCCGTGGTGTCCTTCATCGCAGGACTAACTGCTCCTCCTGGCCGGAGGATGGGCCATGCAGGCGCCATCATTGCTGGTGGAAAGGGTGGAGCCAAAGAAAAGATTGCAGCCCTCCAGTCAGCTGGAGTTGTAGTCAGCATGTCCCCTGCTCAGCTGGGCAGCACTATGTTCAAGGTGAGTGCTTTGTCCTGAGCAGATACTCGACGACTTCAGCATGAGTAACCATGAACAATCTTGGACTCTAACAAAGCATATTTATTGAAATAGTGCTTTTTTTTTAAAAGTACTTGCAGTTATCAGTATTTTTTTTTACCATCATGTTTTGTACTTCTACTCTATTTCTTTGCAGATGAACAATTTACATAAATATATAATAACCATATACAGTAGGATGTAAGATGAAACCACTGACTGGTATATAAAGTAGTTTTAAAAAAAAGCTCTGCTGCAATCTCCTCATTCAGTATAAAAATGGTGCTTGCATGTTAATGAGTCATTAGTAATAATTAAATTATATAAATTACATCATGTAACCCTTATAAAAGGGTCATTCTGCCTAATGTGCACTTCTACTATTTATACTTGATTCTTATACATTTTTAAGATTAGGCTGAATGCAGGTATCGTAAAAGAGTATTTTTGTTTTCTGGTGCCACTAATTCAAAAATACAAATCTCTTTCACTGCTGATAATAACAACTGTGCTGTTTAGGTGTGCAAGAGAGCAAGACCACACATCCAGATTTATTAGTAAAGGCTTAATGAAATAAAACGATGAATCGTCCAATTTCAGCAAAAATACCCGCACTTCTCTGTAAGCTGTAAACTTTACAATTTGGTATTTGAATTCGCACCCGGATCACGTACGTCAAAGCCAGACTATCACGTTACGTTTCTGTAGCACTTTTTCGTTTTGCACTGTCTTATCAGAATATACGAAATATTTAGATACCCATTCATCATCTACATGTCGGCACGGTGAAAAGCAATCATTTCTTTGCGTGTCATATTCATCATTTGCTCCAAGCAGAAGTGCTTCCCTTGCTGCTTCTTTTTTTTTTTTTTAGCTTGTCATTCATTAGTCTCATCAGATCTTTCGAGGTCTTGCATTTCGTAACCCTGATCTCAGTCTGTATTTATGACTGTGTTGTACAGAATGTGTTTAATCTCGATTACAAAGAGCCAAAAATGTGTTTCTGTGTGAGCTTTTTTTCCACTTAGAGCTCCTAAAATTCATTAAATAAAAACACACTTAAGACATTGTATTTACTTAAGCTTGAAATGTACTATATGAATAATTTAAATCCCAAGGTTACTTCTCAGTTGATGAATAAGCAAGCTAATCAGAGCTGATAGATGGTGTAATTAGTGTGGAGGTAATACTATCATATTGTAATGACACTGTAATAATGCTTCTGTTTTGGCTCCAGATCAAAATATGATGCGATACTGGTCAATTGTAGCACCATCTTTCATCACAGAGCAGTAACAAATATGAGACAGTTTACTGGGAACAAGAGTTGAATTTTTTTTTTTTTCTCGGAGCAGCAAGTTTTTTAAGATTGAACTTTTAATATGCCATAAAGAAAGGCAGGAGAGAAGGGCAGAAATTAATAAACGTGTGTTGACAGTGGCTGAGTTGGCGCCACTGCCTCTTTATTTCAGTTTATCTCGGGGGAAGCACTGTTAACAAGATGTATAAAAAGTGAAAGCATGTATTACAGCCATTCATCATCTTATACTTTCATTACCACTGCTGGCACTGCTGCACGCAGATATAGATTTACATGACTTTTTCCCCAAAGTTTAATTCATAATCATTGTCTGTAATGATGAAAAACGTGCTGTGTAGTTGCTCATTTTGCCGCACATTGTGTTCATATGTCTCTGTTAATCTCATTGACCGCTATAATCAAACTAATAACATGTAGGAGGGGAAAAAAAAAAAAGGTAAATCTAATGTTTTGGTTGTGGGCAGGAAAGAGGACGACCTCAGTCTGGTCGAGGTTATTTCTGCTGCCGCTGACGTGAGCCTCAACCAAATGATGAAAAGCATGTTTCTGCAAACGTGGATACGTGCGTCATCGTGTTTAATCAGATGTGGATCATTCATAGAGCTATGGTGTTTTTGTTTGGTAAAAACATCATCTGAACAAATTGACCTCCTTCTCTCGACTGTACATTCTGTCAGCAGTATGCTTATGCAGGATCACGTTTCCAGTCCGACGTCTAATTAGCAGTAACAGGGCTCTGTCTTCTAAGTGGTATATCATCAAATGGAAGAAACACTGCTGAAGATGTTTTTGTCCTTAAAACTTACAGAAAAACATCCTCCCTCACTCGTCATGATTGAAACTCTGTAGTGCAAACAAGACACAGCATGCTAGTACTGCCTCCACCATTTATCTTGCAATTGCAACATTTTCATTTCGAGCCATCTGACAGGTTTTGGTGAAAATACGATATGGCAGGCCAAATAGTATTTTTGCCTCAGATCTCGTTTTTTTTGCTTTACCGAGCGTTGTGTGATGCACATTAGACATAGAGAAATGAAACCATGAACAAGAAGTAGCTGGATTCCTGCAAACCGTCAGCACTGAGTTTATCAGAAATACAATATTTCAGCCACGGACTTTTTGCCACAGGGAGATGCAAAGTAAGTGCTTTTTATCAACTTGAAAAGTTCAAATGAGGGATAAGAGGAGGAATATCAGACAACAACCACTTCATGGCTCATATCTGAACTGGAAATGGCTTCATAACTTTAAAAGGTTTAAAGTTTAAGATTATGGAAATGTTTTTGCCGATCTAATCTTTTATTCATGTGTACATTTTTTGAATCGTGTGCCGCACTGTTGGTGTCATCTTTTCCATTATCAATGTTGTAATTGTCCCCAGGGTTGGCAGTTTGGCTCTTTTTGATTGGTTGTTACAGCTTGTGGCTCTAATATGAAACTGTTATTGCTTCATGTTGCAAATGTGATGCCTGACAAAAGTCCATGATGGAAAAGGATTACAGCAGAGCTCAAATTTGAACAATTTCTTCTGCATATTTTGCTTCACCCACCTTTTTTTTTTTTTTTTTAATTTTGTCTTTACTGAATATGATTTTTTCTTATTCACATACGTTTGTTGCAGGTTTTTGCTAAGTTAAAACCCCTGAAAACTTTTCTACATTAGAGATTCATTTATACCATGAAATATTCATGAGTGATTAAGCAACAGTTAAAGTTGAACTAAAAGTATATTTATTAAAAGCCTCATGCTCCAAAATTAAACTAATCTTCATCCTCAGGACTCTGTGATGTATTTTATCGTACAATGCTTAAATTATAAGAAAACAACGAAACGGATGTATTTGTAGCTGGATTCCAGTTTTGCTCAATTATGTTGTGACATCTTATTCCAGCTAAGCTCTGGCATCTTCAAAAAAATAAAGATAAAAACTAAAATTTTGAAATCTCTCTACAAATATTGCCAAAAGATAAAAGAAACTTTAAAAGTTTGGCAAAAAAAAAAGTGTTGTTTCGATGTCCCGTATCTCCCAGAAAGACGAAAGTAAACAGAAATTTTCCGTGCCACTGGTGCAAGGACAAGATATCAGTGAACTTCTTTTTATCTGAGGACTTAATTCGTATGCAAGGTGGAATAATTATGACCTTTTCCTTGTTTACAAAATATCCGCACCTCATAATCACAGCCAGCATCATCCCATCCCGCTCAATAGCAACAGTACAGCCTGCATGCATAGATGTTTGGACGGACAGACACATCTAATCTCAAGATTTTGTTTGTGTAATAAATTCAAAAGTCAAAGGAGGAGCACAGACCTTATTTACAATGGCTGCACTCCTCATATATCAGCGCCCAGGTGTGCCAAAGCTATTAACATTGCTAGCTTGTAAATGTCTGGCTTTTCTTTCCCGTCATGTTTTCCCCCTGCTCTCCTCAGTTTCAATGCAGGGGTATTTTCACCTGTTGCTTTCGAATGGCAACCTCCACTTTCCTCATTTTACTCCCTCTCCTTCTCTCGGCTTGTCAAGTGTCTGACTCTATCTCACAGAAAAAAAAAAAAAAAAGCCCTCTGTATATTTTTCCTCTCCGTCACAAACGGCTCTGCTCTCCTACCTTCCTGCTATGATTCCTGTGTTATACCCTTAAGTTGGTGTCTGCTGCCGTGGACCAACATAGCACCCGTCTGCTTTTGACACCATCCTCCTCCTCCTCGTTTCTTCTCACTCCTTCTATCCTTTTTTTTTTTTTGTCATCCCTGTATTACCTCTACAGCTTCCTTCTCAGCCCTATTTCACTCTGTTTGAACCCAACTTCATCCGTAGAGAAAAAAATTTTGTGAACAAGGCCACGACTCCCCTTCCCCCTTTTAAATGTCTCTTCACTCATGTTGTCCTTCCTGAAAAGTCAGGGTTTAATCGGCTGCTTTCTCGGGTATTACAGATTTCTGAAACATGAATCTTTTTCCTCCTCAAGGTGGCAGTAGACCTTCAGGTATCCCCATGCCACAGAGGAATGGGCCGACATGTGCATGAGCACTTGTGTGTTCTGTGGACCTGATAAATGACATTTGCATTAAGTTACTTTACCCCTGTGGAATGGAAAATTCTCTGGGAACGACGTATTCTATCATCCTACGATTTGTGTGATATTTTCCAAATTGAATATGTAAATAGCAACATCCTTTTTAATGGCTAACATAATGCGTTCTCATTCAGAGTCACATGGTTGGACTGTGCTGATAAACACGGCGACTATAACCTGCATAAATCAGATTTTTGTGGATGTGTAGCCCCTATCAATCACAAGAAGTGAGCTGTTTTAGTGTTGACAACTGGAACTTACTGACACGTACGCGCTACATGATTTGCACTCTCCAGGAAAAAAAACCAAAAAAACAACAGACACTCCAAAGCTCGAGCCGCCTCTGTCCCCCACCTCCCTCCTTCCTCCTCCTCCTCTCAGTCCCCACCCCCTCAACAGCAGATCTGATACATGGGATCAAAACAGAACTGTGCGAATTCTGCATGAATAAATCATCCACGTCTGTCTGTCTCACTTCATTTCACGTTGTTTCTCATCTTCTTTCCCCTCTGTTGTCCATCTCTGCAGGAATTTGAGAAGAGGAAGATGTTGTAAATTGTGCGGGAAGGCAACTGACCTTTTACCCCCTGCCTCGAAATTGAGATGAGCAGCCTGATTCTGGAGGTGGATATGCCCTACAGTGTCTGTAAACCCTGATTATTTCAACTACGATGCGCACATCCAGTGTTTATATTGTAATTTCTGCCATGAACTTGTACCTTGCACATAACAGAAAAATAAAACATAGTGTCTTAATGGTATCCTAAAGAACTCATTGTACACAGTGTAAAAGCTTTATAGGTGTTTTTTTTTTTCTTTTCCTTCTTCTTCCTCCACACAATGTCAACACCTGAGGGAAGGATGATCTGTTTCGTTCTGTTCTACTCCTGCTGTAAGATGTATTTCATCACCCATTTCACCGGCTGCCCACCTGAATAAGAAATATTTCTCATATCATTTTCCAGCTGTGTTGTGTCCTTTCTCGTGGCACACGTGAGAAACAGATGTGGTGCCATTATTGAATGTCTGTTTCCAGGTTTTTAGCATTCTTAAAGTTAACGCGAGCACAAAACTTCACAGAATGGGAAGGTGCCAGTAATGTTGCATGTGCAGAATAAATTACAAAGTGAACAAATTCCAGTTGTCTGACATATTTAAAAATATACCACTTGGTTTTAGTGTTGCCTTCATCCTGAGCGGAAACAGTTAATAAGTTCATCTAAAGAGTAATTGGCGAGAATGTGACATTTGTTGGTTAAATATTTTAAGACCTGCTCACACCATGATTGAAAAATTTGGTGCCATTGACCAACGGCAAACCATCCTGTCGGTGCTGACCTTTGAGGGAGAGCAGGGAAGCTGAAAATGGAGTAAGCTTTTGTAGCTAATATGTTGCATCATCCATTTTTATTTGTCCTCCTCTGTTGGAGTATAAACTCCTCCACAAAAGCTTTGTAGCGTGCCACAAATGTATCTTCAATAAATTGTGTGAACTTATTGTCCCGTTAGCTTGCTAACTGTCATTTAGCGAGGGTTTATTCCCCCTTGATACGTCATTTTATTCAATAAAATGATGAATGTAAATCTTGACGGCGCGTCCGGCTTCGCTAGCTTCTGTATCTTAGTGCAATCCCCAATGAAACATTTCTTTTATCTTTCAGGAGTTTGCATATTCTAAGAAAAAAAATAAGCATCTAATACAACACTATATAGAAAACTGCAACCTTTGGGATTTGAACACAGTTAATCAACTATTACTTCATGAGCAGAGAATAAATGGCAACTCCTGTGGGGAAAGAAGCCTCAGCGTGTGTTGTATTATAATAACAGGGATTCATTTGTACTCATAAATTCAGCAAAGCTCTCTTCTAAAGTATTATTTTCAACTTTCTGGCTGCAAACTTTGCCCTTCGTAAATTCCTTCACTGTTCGTTCTCCTTTCCAGCGTGGTGCAGTAATTTTTATCTAGACACATGAAGCTGGCCACCTGAAATGCTGCTCTCTGTTCCATGGCTGGATCTTTAACAATTAGTGTCAAAATTTTTAACCGGATTGCCTTTCAGGTAAAGTATAGCTTTTGTTCTTAACATTTTAAGTTTCACAGGTAGAGAAACATTCTTGAAACTTGGCTGTAAACTTTCCATTGTCATCTTAAATTGAAAACATAACAGCCTGTGTAAATATTCAAGGCAGAGTTTGAGGTTGGCCTCTGATCGAGACAAAGCCGAGTTCCACACAAAGCTATAGGTTGAATTAACACCTCATTACTGTACACAAGGTGAAATTAGACTTGGAGTGGGAGAAAATGAAAGGGGAAGATAAGGTTACAGTTGGTTCTGCTCCTACAGAATCTTTTTAAATTAACTCACTAGGAACAAAAGTGTGTAATGAAGCATATAATGCCCTACACTGGACATCTCTACAGCCTATTCTTATCTGCTCCACAGCAGTCAGCCAAGGCAGATTATTCTGTGTACAGTACACATTGTTAACAATTACTTTTTAATCTGCATTAGCGAATTAACATAATGACTGACAGTGGAACAGAAAGCTTATTTGTTTAGAGGCTCAGAAGTTCCTTCTCGTACTGAAGTTGCCAAGCTGTGCTCTGCTTTGACTCGAACGCCAGATGTAAAAGAGGCCAAAGTTTGCCTTCTGGCGCTGTTTTGTTACTGTTTTCTTTTTAGAGTGGCTTTAAACAACACAATTAATTGAAGGTTTAAAATCGTACTTAACAGTTAACTAATGTCAAGCCAACTCCAAAAGTGTTCCCATCTAATGAGCCGCACAAAACTAGACACCTGAAGGTAATTTTCTCTGCAAGTTTTGCTCCCCAGCATCATAAACATTGTTTACAGTCTCACACCAGACAGTTTGACTCGGAGGCTGATGCTGCTGCATGTCGTTTCTCTACATTGATCTGGTGATGAGATGTATCGTTCGGATAACTCGGATAGCTGTAAAGCTCCTGTATAATTTCTTTTGCTGTAGGCTAGTTCCTGTGGTTGCTATAGTCACGCAGAAAGTTGCATTGGCAAGAGGAAAAAGTTCAGCCGTCATAAACTCTTGACGACAGCAGCCATGGTACTCTGTCTCCTTGCTTGGCAGTGAAGGCAGCAGCAACGAAGCACACCCTAAATCCCTCTACACTGCTAAAGCAAATAATAGCATTTGTGATGGGTTTTGTTACTCAAAAATTCTCAAATTATAGCACTTTATTTGTCAAATTCAGGAGGTAGCCTACTGTATATACACAACTGAATGGGCAGTAGTAGAAATAGGTCTTTGCCGTGTCCCAATTCTACTCATTCAGTCATGCACTGGTAAAAATTCCAAAATTAGTTATGCTCAAAAACATTGGTATGAATACGAAATCTGCTCCGGAGGTTGTTCCCACTGCTATAAAGCATTAAAACAAATTACAAATGGTTGGGGCAAAGGCTGCATAAATCAAATAAAGTCTTAAAACTTTATGAAGTTTAATCGATGGTGGGTTTCAGGGTTGCAGCGTGACTGACATTTACTCATAGACATCCTGTAAATACAGAATGAAAAACGCCATTGATTTCTTGCACTACAAGAACTATATACTGTGAAAGTATTTAATTTCTACTGTATGCTGTTACTATGAAAACACATTATATGAGATCATATACTAAATATTGGAGGTAGAGATGAGGAACATACACATACATGTCATTTGAGACCCATCATTCGTTTTTTTTGTTGTTGTTGTTGTTGTTGTTGGGTAGGTTTAATGATATTGTAACATAACTGGTACTTATCGTGTCTCTCAACTTTAAATCCATCTGCCTCGTATTTTGTAGGTCCCCCATTGTGCCATCAAAAGTGGTCCGACCCATTTGGGTACGGACATGAGATCTCTGGGGATGTTCTGTGGTGTCTGACACAAAGATGTTGGCAGCTTGGATTCCTATGAAAATGAATGGGCCTTGTTTCGGATCTGGAGCTACACATGTCTGATCTGCAGATTTCACCAATCTCCAAAATGCTCATTGCTCTCTCATCTATTGTATGTCTGTTCTTCATCTAGTATCCTGCTATCCCCCACCCTCTTCATCCCCACTCTCACCCTAACCGGTCAAGGCAGATGGCTTCCTTCCCTGAGCCTGGTTCTGTCATAGTTTTTTTTTTCTTCTTCCTCCGAGTTAAAAGTGGGATTTTTTGGGATTCTTCCCACTTTTACCGTCTGCTTGCTCAAAGGAAACTTTTGATTGTTGGGTTCCCTGATTAAAATTTGTAAGGTCTTCATCTTACCATGTTAAGTTCTATTAGATTGACATATGTTGTTAATTGGCACTATAGAAATAAAATCAAACTGAAATTGGTTGAATTGCGCCACAACCCCTCAGCTGGATTGGAATTAAGGGAGTTTGGAGGGTAGGTCAACACCTTGGGCTCATTGTTGTCTTCTTCACGCCACTCCTGAGCAACTTTGGCAGTGTAGGTCACACTGTCCTGCTGGAGAAGACTGCTACCTTGTGGAGTGATGTTTTCATAGTGGGTTATGCTCGGTCTGTAACAGTGTTTAGTTGGGTGGTAGAGTCAAAGTAACATGCCCATGAATACCAGGATCCAGGCTTCACTTTTCCTGCCAGTGGTTTTAATGTTGTGGCTGATGGATGAACACTCAAATCGATCTGGAGTTGCGTGGTCTCAGTCTACTTCAAGATGCTGTCTCGGTTGGGTGACAGGTGCGTTTGATGTCATTCTTTTGGCTACAGAGAGCGCTTCAGCTGATCACTTATCGTCTCAGACCAGAGAGTTAACTTTATTCATAAAACCATAAATGGCTGACTGAACCCACCAACAGACCTACAGCAAAGGCCTCATTACCAAGAGAGCACAGGCTCAGTCCGAGACAGACCGAGTCAATCGTCTGAGTTGAAGAAACAAGAATATTCCTCGGAGCAGACGGCAGTTCTAATGAACTCAACAGGGTACTCTGCAAGCGCCCCTGCGCACACTGCAACACTTTATGACTAATGTATGTGAGGAAAGGTTGAACAGTGCCAATGTGCCCAGCATGAAAATCAGTCATTTAATTAAACAGTTGATAATGAAATAGACGAGATGAATCTTATGTTAAGAGGTAAGAACTTTTTTCTAAATGTTCACATTGCGCTGCAACCTGCCAATTAACATAACAAAGTTTCTGTACCAAAAAGCTGCGTGATCTGCAGGTTGTATAGGTACAGGTTAGCCCTGTTGCCTTGGATTGTAGTGACCTGGTTTGTCGACAGCAGGCTTCAGCGAACTGCTCATCCATTCAACGCCACATATTGCTCTTTTTAACCTGAAAGTGCCAGCAATCGTTGTCAAATAGTTTTATTGATAGTATTGATTCTAGCTGGAGCTGCAAAGTCTGGTTGGCACAGTCTCCATTAAAGCATTGCAGAGCAGCGGTAAGGACAAGAAATAAAACCAAGGGGCTTGGCAGTAGCAATTTGCATGAGGCAGTATTGTTTTAATAGAACCACTGACTTGAGATTGCTTTGGGAATTGAGGGCGAGAATGAGGATAGAAGAGCGGATGTACAGGGATCTTGGAACAGAGCCCCATTCTATTTTTTCAAGCCAGCTGTGGATTGCTTTCTTCCGACGGAGGAAAGGTTTTATTCGTCCGGCTTATGATAATAGAAAGACACAAGGCAGAACATTCATATAGAGGGCAAGCTGCTTTTCATAATAGATTTGTTAATAGATTGGTGTTTTTTGTACCATTTTCCCAACAATGCACCCTTAACAAAAGAATTTCTCAGCTGTTATCAATGAATTAGTAATAGTAAAATACGTGATTTAGACATTTTAGACCTGGTGAAGGTTGTTATAATAAAAACACACAGCAATTTTCAGGAATAAAATATTTTCACTCCTCCCATATATCTATCAAAATATCCACAGATTTCTATGAAAAAGATCCATTTTATTATTACTAAGCGACTTACCAGATTTAAAAATAAATAAATAAATAAAGTGTTGCAACATTACTTCAACTTGAGTACAAATTTAAAGAATGAGTCTGTCTGTGAAAGAAACTGATGTATTACAGTGATGAGTTACTGACCCTGAGAACATCAGATAAATTAGATAAAATGGCATTTTGACTTTTACTGAATTTTTGCTTAATTTCTGTCTTGTTTCTGTTTCTTTTTATATGTCTCAATGTATAGATTTTTCTGTATCCTTTATAACTTAATTGTGTCTATTTTAACGACACTGAATTGCCTTGTTGACAGTTCTAGTTAAAGGACATTATTAATGAGTTATAAAATGCTTGTAACGCTCTTAAAATCATTATTATATGAGGCATTGAACAACTTATAGGCCCTTTGTCTAAGAAATGTCCCATTAGAAAGTCACATAGTTTTAACCTCGCAATCGAGAAAATGTGTTGTTTTGGGAAAAAAAGGAGGAATGAGTTTACAATCGTCTCCTCTGGTGGACATATAATGACAGTAATGGTGAGCTCACATGCTGGGTTATCATGTCCGACCAGTCAGAGCTGTGGCTCCTCATCAGGATTCCGCCCAGTGGGGACGCCAGCAGTGTGGTCTAATCCCACAGA